GAACATGAAATGTCAGGTTAGACCTGATGTTTCAGCCCCCCAGTATTGCAGTTTGGCTTCATACGCTCTGCTGCATTTACATATTTAAACTGTCAGGGCTCCAACAAATCCCTAAGCAGCTAAAAAGACCAAAGGAGTATCTTTTTAGTTGACATAAACATTCTCTCTCTCTCTCTCTCTCTCTCTCTCTCTCTCTCTCTCTGTGTGTGTGTGTGTGTGTGTGTGTGTGTGTGTGTATGTTGAGTTAAACACATATTTATTTAACACAATATACATACAAATACATAATTGTTATCGCCGCTGATTTTGGAAGAGATCTGTGGATCAACTAAGAATTTGGGAATTGGTGTGTGCCTAAGATTTGTATTATTTGTTTCATTCTACTGTAAAGTATGAACAGGAAAAAATCATGGTAAGTTATGATACAATATTTGATTAACGGAACCCGTTAATTTAGAATTATAAAACCCTTAGAACCTTTAAGTTTACTATTAAGGAAAGTCCTTGTGTGAATTCTAAATATTGCCAGATTAATTTTAAAAAATTCCATTAATAAGTGGACCACTCATAGATTAAATCCACCCATCCCAAATGAGATTTGTATTGAACCTGTATTGAAGAATATTCACTCTTAAATTTCTTAAAGCAGAGGTGGGAATGATGGCCCCTTTTATGACTTGTGGACTTCAACTCCCAGAATTCCTGAGCCAGTCATGCAGCTGGTAGCATGGCTGGCACAGGAATTCTGGGAGTTGAAGTCCTCAGATCATAAAAGGGCTACTATCGTTCCCTACCCATATCTTAAAGTGTGGTTTGAAGGCACTGCTCCAACTGGTTTCTACAGTTTTATCAGTACAAGCAGAGCAACAAAGTACACTCACTTTTGTATTCCTTTGAAATTATATCCATCTATAAACATTTTAGTCAAATAAACAAATAAAATGAGAGCCATGGTTACTCCGTAGCAACTCTATTATTCATTATAAAACTCTTTGAATCATTGCCCTCAGTTTGAGCAAATACCAGAGTGATTCAGGCATGTTAGTTTATGGGAAGAAAATTCAGAAGAAATTTAATAGAAAAAAAAAATATCAATAGAATTGCCTTGACATAGTAGCAAATGGAATTTACTCCAGCTCATCTTAATCTAATTTATGTTATTGAGTATCATGCAGAATTTTGAATTACACAGAATTTTTCTTCAGAAAAATAAAGAGGGAGGAGGGATGCTTCAAGGACAACATGGGATTCTGTGCAGGATAGTATGCTGGTCCTTATAATTTAGAATAAACTGTTTATGTAAGATATTCTTGCTTTGAAATTCCTATGTGGTTTTTAACTGCTGACTCACTCAGATGTATAAGAGACACTTAAAACTGTACTTATGAAGCAGCATACTTCGTTCTTCTGTTGCAATATCGCTTGTATACTATTTCAGAAAAAAATATTAAAAATAAAAGTGGAAGCAAGTTAGGTTTTTTGCTGAAAAAAAAACGTATGAGGTTGTGAAACCCTTAGATTTGAAAAGGAGCAGTTGTCAACACTGCAGAAGTCACAGCATGCAATAAGAGAACAAATATCCAATTTCACAATTTTCCCTGCAATCATCAAGAGAAAAGATAGCTTTAGGCACTAGGAAAAATCACTGGCCAGGAAAGTAACAGGCAAGTGTGAAAGTCACTGAATGCAGCACAGAGGCATTAACAAATCAACAGCTTGAAATTGGCTTGAAAAAAAATGTTTCCAGTATGGATATTAATTTGAATTCCTTTTGTTTGCAGATAGCTTTGTTAAATGCATAGCTGCAAAGGCAAAGTGAAAAGTTGGGTATTCTAATAAGACTGTGAATAATATCAATAGCACTTAGACTTATATACCACTTTATAGTGCTTTACAGCCCTCTCTAAGCGGTTTACAGAGTCAGCATATTGTCCCCAACAATCTGGGTCCTCATTTTACCCACCTTGGAAGGATGGAAGGATGAGTCAACCTTGAGCCTGGCGGGATTTGAACTGCCAAATTGTAGGCAGCTGGCTGCAGAAGTAGCTTGCAGTACTGCACTCTAACCACAGCGCCATAATGTGAGGGTTTTATGAGTCCATTTTAATTTATGTTAGTTTTTATTTATTTACTTCTGATTGTACTAGTAACTTACATGATTATTCTGTTGAGTAAAAACTAAGGAAATGGAAATAAATGAATACAGCATAAATTTGTGCATTCCTAACTTTATTAGGTTTACTTTCATCTAATCTGCCTATCCAAAGCAGAACAGAATACCAGAGATGGAAGGGAACTTGGAGATCTTCTAATCTAGTTCAAGCCCTGCTCAAGCAGGAGACCTATACCAAGTGGTTGTCCAGTTTTTTCTTAAAAGTCTCCAGTAATGGAGCACCCACACCTTCTAAAAGCAAGCTGTTCCACTGGTTTAATTGCTCTCACAACCAGGAAATTACTCCTTCTAGGTTGCTTCTCTTCTTGATTAGTTTCCACCCGTTGTTTCTTTCTTTCATTGTTTCTGGGGCTTTGGAAAGTCGGTTGCCCCCTTTATTTGTGGCAACCCCTTTAATATTGGAATACTGCAATCATGTTACCCCCTTAGGGCATGGGGCTTCTTGCCTGAGCAGGGGATTGGACTAGAAGACCACCACGGTCCTTCCCAACTCTTGTTATTCTGTCATTATGTTTTGTAATTCTTTGGTTGAAACAGATGGTTTCTGTCAGTGGGATGTTCATCCAAAATTGTACCAGGATTCTTTTTTAAAAAATCTCTTATTAGTGGGGGAGAGCACATTTCTTTATCTTTCTTAAAAAATAAAGTTAAGCCTATTTTAAGTACTTGCTTAAGTTTTTAATACATTCCCTGCCTTACATTTTTAAAGTGTCCTTCAATTCATTGAATAGACTTCTGCCACCTTCTCCAAATATGTTTTTCAAATTCCAGTCTTAGCAAGCTGCCCTGGGATTTCCCATCCAAGTACTAAACCAGTGTGACTGTTCAGCTTGAATTGAAATTCAGTGGCATAATTAAGAGGGAATTCCAAGGGCTGGAGAAATAGGTCTTGGAGATTGTAGAGTATTTGTGCCTCTTTAACACATTTGTCTGACATCTCAAGTACATCTGCAACTTTTTTGCTAAGAACAGCAGCTACATATTTAAACATGGAATGAGGAGGGCCGGCTCCAAATTAAACAAAAGAAAGGTTGAAAGATTAAAAAGGTAATGGATCTTACTTCCTGGTGGCCTCATGGAGTCAGTAAGATTGATTGATTGACAATAGAATGGAATAAGTTTGGTATGCTTTCTTTCAGAGTATTTTTTTTTTTACGTTTCTAATAAAGAATCATTAAGCAGTCATAACAAAGTGAAAAGTCATCCCAGGAGTTTCAAGGCATGCATATATTCCATTCTCACAAATGCAACCAAATCCAAATAAGCCCTACGATGGCTAAGTGTGTTGTTTTACTTCAGATTTTATGGTTTGTAAATTGTGGTCTTTTGCTTACTTTGAATCTAGTGTCTAATGATTAATTACTTACTGGATTACAATAGCCTTAGATGACATGGTGTTAAAGCTGCTCCCATGATTGTTTCCATGAACTAGACAGCCTGTGTATGATTGCTTACTCATGGTTAATGTAAACCTTATTTACTCAGTAAACACAACTGGCTGGTTCACATGACATTAAACCAGAAGCAACCAAGATTGGTTTTGCACAGTAAAAAGGGCTAAAAAATGTATTTGGCTAGTTGGTGTTTCAGAATGTTGTATAAACATTACAGTACATTTCATTGAAGAAATCCATAATTTATTGCATTTTTCTTTCAAAAGTTCAGTCAAGAACTGAACATCCTGGATTCAATTGTTTTGCTCAATTTTTAATGAAGAGGCATTTCAAAATCTCTCTTCAGGGTGTTTTAAACAATGAAAAGCAGATTAACATTTTATAAATAAAAATAAAACAAAAGGTTTCAGAAATCTGATGCACTAGAAGTGAAGTGATCAGTATGGCGAGGAATGGACTTGGGCTCCATCCTGATAAAATTCCACTGCTATGGTTATTTGAGCCCCTGAGGTCTGAGACATTTTCACCTTTGATCCTGATGGGATTGCTGTTTGAGACCAGCGCACACTTCTGGGGAACATCCTGGACTCACAGAGGCTGCTTAAAACGCAGGTGACTGTTGCGTCCAGGAGGGCTTTTGCATAATTTGATTTTGTGCAACAATTGCATCCCTTTCTGGATTTGGAAGCACTATTCACAGTCACTCATGCATTGATTCAGTATATTAATGGTATCATGTGATACTCACTTTCTTCATTTCTGACTCACTCAAGATTTTCCAATCGATTTATGAAAAAGCGGCAGTGTGTCAGCCCTTGGGTTGATGAGCTGGTACTCATGCATCTCTTGTGCCAATTGGAGTTAGAGTTCTCTGCTTTAAAAGATGCATCTAAAAAATTACACAAATAGATTCAGTTTGTTCTAACTCAGTGCTAAAGAGCTGAAAAAAACTGCCGTGGCTGAACTTTATTCTGCTGATCAGCTAAATATAAGATACAACATGGATCTTATATTAGTTGATATAATGTAGAGCAGGGGTGTCAAACTCATGTTGTCACGGTGGCATCACGTGATGTATCGGGACTTTTTTCCCCCTTCGCTAAACCAGGCGAGGGCATGGCCAGCGTGCGATGCATCTGGCCTGTGGGCCAGGAGTTTGACAGCCCTGATATAGAGAAACAATTTGTTCTGAGAACTAAAAGAGAAAAATATGATTAGGGAAGGGAATCCCAAATTACAATTTGAAACCATTGTTTGTTGTTGGCTTAGAAAGCCTAGCTTAATTGTCATTTGTTCTTAATGCTTGCATCTAGAATCCTGGCTTATTGTTTTGTCAGGAACAATGGAGGAAAAGTGCAACCTTTGGTTGAACAAGCTGGCATTGTTTTGCTTTTCTTGAAGGAGTAAGGTTTTAAATTTTGTTTTTTCTACAGATGCTGTGAATGCCTAAGATGTTGTGGAAGAAGAGACCCCAGGCCTCGAACCGTCTGGCTTGGCCATCCCGAAAAGAGGGATCAGAGATATCCACGCAATGTCATCAACAACCAGAAGTACAACTTCTTTACTTTTCTACCAGGAGTAAGTATGATTATAAGGCATTGCTTAGAATCTACAACAAAAACCAGAACAGCACATGTGGCATGTTGTATTGTGCAAATGACACCATTATGTAATTGGCACCAGTCACATGACACCTCTGATGCAAATCAATAATCATGCTATTTGCATGATGACATCATGACTTATGTGATATCATTTCCCCCCGCAGATATCTCTGTGTATGATATCCAACAAACCAAAATAGAAGTGGTTTTCTTTAAAAAAAAATCTTCATTTTTTTTTAGGAGAGGAATTATTTAGTCATTTCTTATGAACAGGAATTCTCCTGCCCCAGTTGTTATAATAGCACCATCATTGCAAAGGTTTTATGAAAAAAGTTCCCTCATGGGATTTCCCTCAGGATTTAATGGGGAAAAGGGAGGCCATATTATAGCCACCCAGGTTTCCATTAAATCTTGCTAAATGAAGGCAAGAATGCCTCACCCAATGAACAATTATCTTAAATCATCTACTTTGGAATACATTTCTAAAGTAAATTAACTCTCATCTAATGTGTCTTCCCAATACTACTGCAAAAGTATGTTGGATTGAGGATTAAAGATTACTGAACTGATTCAAACTGCTACAAGCAGTCCTTGGTTTATATAAACATTCACTTAGTGACTGTTCAAAGTTATAAAAGCACTGAATAAAGAAAGTATAACCAGTCCTCATAGTTCTGACCATTGCACTATGGTCATGTGATCGAAATGCATATGCCTGGCAGCTGGCATATATTCATGACAGTTGCAGCCCCTCAGGGTCACATGATCGCCATTTGCGTTCTTTCCAGCTGATTTCCAACAAGTGAAAGTCTGATTCACTTAATAACTGCATGGTTCACTTAACAACTGCAGTACAAAAGAAATTTTGGTTCCAATTATGGTTGTAAATTGATTGCTACCTATATTCTGCCAGATGAAAATATTTGGTATATTTGCATGTGTGTTTTTATAAATCAGTAAATTTTTACCGTCTAACCTTTTCCTTTTTAGAATCCTCTCAGATTAACCATGTTTTTGTGGATTGCTGCTCTTTATGTTGGATGAGTTCCTTCCAATATTTCCTTGTCACTTACTTAGTCTTCTCCCCGCTCTGCTTCTAGGTCCTGTTCAACCAATTCAAATATTTCTTCAATCTCTACTTTTTATTTCTTGCCTGTTCTCAATTTGTTCCTGAAATGAGGCTTGGTGCACTTTACACGTATTGGGTTCCACTGGTAGGTAATATCAGATTTATTTACCCAAGAAAAGTTTCAGTGTTTGAATACAAAATGTCCTTTGTTAACCTTATCTCTGAGATCCAAGTAATGCTGAAACTTAAAATGGTTTTTGTTAGCTTATTTTATGAAGCCTGCCCTTTATGTCTTTGGGAATTGTAGATGCTTGGTCTAACTTTTTAAATTGATTTAATAAAGGTTCACCATTCAGAAATAAAACCTTGAGTGGTACAGGAAAATAAAATACACAGGGAGACATTTGATCAGGGGAGTAATTTATCCCATAACTTAATCATTCCAAGAGTTCAGTTAAAGAGATTATCCTGGGTTAACTCCCTTTAAAAGTAGGTTGTCATAGAAGCATTTTTGTAATTGTCTTTGGAACAATGGACTAAACGTTGAACAAATACTCACAAAATAGATAGTCCTTGGGTTTGTTTTTATTTTTCCAGATCCTTCCAAAGGTTAAACCATATAAACTATATATTGACCAATTTAAAAAATTAAGGAGGAACATGCTGACTTTCACAGTTCTAACTGGTTTTACTTGTTCTTCTCACTAGCAGTCTGTGTCTAAGAAACCACAGATAGTTTAATAGTTTATTTAGTACAATGAAATGCTATTTTTTTCATCAACAGTCACACTTGGGTTTTGAACAGTGTGTTAATGACTGGTTTCAAAAGACAAAATTGGTAGGGCCAGGAGTAAAGCTAAATTTCATTTCATTAGATTTAAATATATGTCACAGTAAATTAAATCTGGTTCAGATGTGTTTTCTTAATGGCTTAACTAATTGTCAGAAGGGAACTATAGTTAGAGCTGGATGAAGAGAAGGACAAAACCAAAAATGTAATAACATTCATAAAATGATAAATAATAATCCAGTTATGTGTTTAACTGGTTGCGTCACATTAAAAATAATAATAGCTAATGCTTTTTAGACAGCTCTGGAAGCCACACAAGATTATCAATTGGGTAGCTGTGATTTCGTATGTCTTTAGGGATTTTAACTTCTTTCAATTATAGCTCTCTCAACAAACAACAATTTAGCAAATCAGGGCTTAGGATGTAATTGGATAATTCAAAGCTGTTATTTTTTACTTTAAGATAGTGAATGGAACACCAAATTTTCCTTCCCCCCACCAAAGCAAATCTATATTTCTTTCCATGGGGCAAAAACCACTTTCAGGGTTGCTGGGGGGACTTGAGATGTAGAAAGAAAGAAAAAAGGAATAGGTTAAATTTCCCCTTCTCTTCTCCCCCATTCCCAGTTGTACTTATTCTGATTAAGCCTTTGTTTGCTTTTGAAAAAAAAAAGTATTGAGAGATAGCAATCTCCAATGACTAGGCTTAAATTTAGAATTTAACAAAGCAAGCCATTTTGTAATGTAGCATAAGAGCTAGAAACTTTTCCCTTTTTAATGGTAGCTTGCATTCTTAGTATGCCTTTATTTTATATAGTATGGAATACACATCTGGTTGCACTACTGTATGGTGTTTGCTGTAGAAATTAGTTTGTATTTTTAACAAGGCTTGCTTCAAACCTGTAGCTCATTGTAATTTGTTCAGATCACACAAATCATTAGAATTCAGCATGTGAGCTGCCAGAGTTATAAATAATAGACTTTTTGTTCATTGTAGATTGCTGAAACAGCCATTTGGGAGTCAAATAACAACTTGAGAGGAATCAGTGAGGCAGAATAAATGGGATAGTTTTCATGATTGTTTGGAACCCCAATCTTTAAATGCACCAGTTTCTTTTTCCTATATAATATATATAAACCTTATAAACTGGGTTTTGAGATAGCATTTTAGAGTAATGATTGATCTATATTTTAAGCACCAAATTAAAATGCTGTCATAATGAGAGTAATGTAGTACGATAATTGAATGCTACTTATCTACTTAGAAGAAAGCCTCATTAGCTATTGGGACTTGCTGTCAGTAAGTATTTACTCAGGCTTATTTTTAATTGAAGGAACAACAATATAGCAAATCAGGGCTTGTGATACGATTGGATAATTCAAGGCTGTTATTTTTTTTTTACTTTAAAACAGCGAATGGAACACCAAATTTTTCCCGTCCTCCCAAAGTAGATCTATGTTTCTTCCCATGGGGCTAAAACCAGCTTTGGGGAAGAGAAACTTTGAGAGAATTAAAAGTACAATAAATAAAATACAGGATTTGAGGTTAGGTAAATGTAAAAAGGTTTGTTTTATTTCTCCAAAGGATATTGCCATTCTTTCAAATAAGACTTAATAATACTGAATTCCTTTGGACAAACAATATACTAATGTTTTCCAAATTTGGGAGAGCTGGAATCAGTCCCCTGTATCATTTGCATCTCTTTGTAATGACAAGCCTTGAAGGCATATAGTAATGTAATTCTGACTTAATGTTCATGGAAGCTATGCAAAGGAGTGGAAGATTCCTAGAAATTAGTATAGCAGATTGATTTCCTTTGGGCAGCTTAATTACATTTACAAACAAATTATTTCGTTTCCATGATTCAGGAAAGAAGAATCTACATTGAGAATGTTCTTACACAGATATATAATCCCAGGATGGAATCATATTTTTTAAATATTTAAAATATGTCTTCAAAAGAAAGAAAAAAACTATGAAAGAAAATGCTTTCAGACTGAGAACCTGAATTTTAGTCAAGGATATTTCTGCCCTCCTCCCCTTCAAAAGGATGAAACCTGTTGTTGTTATTGCAAAGTCATGTGCAACCCATCGCAACTCCATGGACTACATTCTTCTAGGCCTTCCTGTCCTCTACCACAGGGATCTCCACCTTAGCCACTTTAAGACTTGTGGCCAGCTTTGCTTTGCTGGTTGAGGAATTCTGGGAGTTGAAGTCCACAAGTCTTAAAGTGGCCAAGGTTGGATACCCTTGCTCTACCATCTTCTACATTTAAGCTCACACCTACTGCTTCAGTGACTCCATCCAGCCACCTCATTTCTCTGTCATCCCCTTCTTCTATTGCCCTCAATCTTCCCCAGCATTAGGCTCTTCTCCAGTGAGTCCTTCCTTCTCATTAGGGAGCCAAAGTATTTGAGTTTCATATTCAGGATCTGGCCTTCTAAGGAGCAGTCAGGGTTGAAACCTGTAATCTTACTCATTTAGAAGAAAGTTCTGTGTGTTCAGTGGGGAATATTTATAAAATCAGTGCTATAGAATAGTTGGTTGCATGGAATGGAGGCTCATTAGCTTTCAGCTTTTTGCTCAGGAATGCACATGTATAAATTGCTATGAATGTGTCTTGGCTCTTTAAAAAAATCAAAACAAAAGCATCACCAATAACAAGAATCTAAAACACTGTTTTGATTAGCAGGATTGTGATAGTTTGCAAGCACTAAGCAAGGTGATGATGATATAGGTTATCAGAATTAGATACGGCTGATTATGTAGACACCTAAAGCAGCTTTGGGTAGTGAGATGGATACCATAAAAATTTAATAAATAAATGTATTTCTTCCTATAAATATCAGTTGTTAGGATCACAAATGAAAAGGTATTTCCTTCTTATTGAATGAGTTTTATTTGTCTTGTTTTGTTTAAATTGTTCATTATTGAATATTTTTAAAATAAATATGATAAAAATATTTAAAATACAGTAAATACAATATCAGTGCGGCATTGCACAGGCATTGGTTTGACCATTGGCAGGAACAGAATGGAGAAATGGATACAAGCTTGGTTTGATCCAGGGGTGGGATGCTACCAGTTCGGTCCGGTTCTGTGGAACCAGTAGCTGCGAAGAGCAGCTGACACTGAACCGGTTCAGTGTTTGGCCCACCCACCTGCCCGGGCTCTAGGCTATCCTTTATTCCCTGCCTTTCCCTCCCTTGCACAGCACAGCTGATGTTGAAAAAGCAGAAAACAAGAGGATTTTCAAATGTGCACCCACGCGCAGCGCTTATCAGCTGTCCAGGCAGCACAGCTGATGATTTCTTATAAATGCTGCACACATGTGTTATGATTGTCCACAGTTTGGAGAACCGGCAAATTGCTCCACTGGCTGGACCCACCCCTCCCCGCCCACTCACTCCTTGCTTGGCATGTGAGCCATCCAACTTGCCTGGTTTGGTAAGTTGCTATTTTTCCTCCCCCCCTCCAACCATCAGATGGTCTGCTCTGCCGGGAGATTTAGATTAGCTAGAAAGCAGGAAATCCTTGGATTTCTTGCTTTCTAGCTAATCTAAAAGCAGAGCCAAACCTTCCTTAGGACTGAAACTTCTACTTTTCAGTGCAGACTCAGGTAGCCAATTGCAGATAGATAGATCTCTAAGTGAATCTGTGATTCTGTGAGCAACTCAATCTGCCTGCCTGCTTTGCCTGCTTTTGAGTAAAAGTTGCTCTTTTTTAATAAAAAAATCAATATTTACATACATGGTGTATTGTGAATTAATTTTGTGAGTTTGCTTGCTAGCAAATTTTATGTGACAGACTCAGGTAGCCGATTGCAAATAGATAAGTGAATCTGTAATTCTGTGAGCAACTCAATCTCCTGCCTGCTTTACCTGCTTTTGGGTAAAAGGTGCTCTTTTTTATTAAAAAAAATAAATATTTACATAAATATTTATAATATTTACATACAATCCATGCCTACCCAGTCACATGACCATGAAGCCATGCCCACAAATTAGGCCACATCCACAAACCAGTTGTTAAGAAACTTGAATCCCACCCCTGGTTTGATCCAAAAGTATTTGTGTTATCTAGAAAGAAAAAGAAAAGAAAAAGGCCATATCAGAAATATTGTAGCAACATAGAAGTTGAATATTTGCAGCTTGAACATTGTAGCAATGTGGCTTTTGTAGTGTTTTGTACTACCAGTGCTTATTTCTTCTACTTGTTATATCTAGTCATGTAATATAGAATACAAAATAACAGAATGGGAAGGGATCTTGGGGGCCTTCTAGTCCAACCCCCTGCTCAAGCAGGACACCGTTTCAGACAAAGGGTTGACCAACCTCTTCTTGAAAACCTCCAATGATTGAACACATTTGTGTCTTTTGGAGGCAAGTCATTCCACTGATTAATTGTTCTTGCTGACAGGAAATTTTCTACTTAATTCTAAGTTGGATCTCTCTTTGAGAAGCTTCCATCCATTACTTCTTGTCCTGCCCTCAGGTGTTTTGGAGAATAGGTGACCCCTTCTTCTCTGTGACAGCCCCTCAAATATTGGAAGATTGCTATCATGTCACTCCTAGTCCCCCTACCAAATACCTAATCCCCTCAATCATCCATCATAATGGTTCTATATTATATTATATAACATCATAAAATGTTAGCCTCTTCCAACTAAGTGGTTTCATCTGAAATGGAAAATTTAAGTAAATATTTCACCTTGACTCCATGTTTTGATCATCCACTAACTTCCCAGGTCTTCAGACAAGTTCTTTGGATTTAATCTATTTTCTTTTGACTAATCCTCCACCATTTCTCTTTCTGCCTCTTTAGGGCTTTGTGCTTACTGTTACCATCATCCGTGAGGCTGTAGAAGAGATCCGATGTTACATGCGTGACAAGGAAGTCAACTCTCAGATTTACAGCAAGCTCACAGCAAGAGGTCAGGAAATTGGCTCCAGCTTTCTGTCTGTTTGCAACTCTATCAAAAGATGATGATAATCAGAACAGCAATTTTGAGAAGGAGGGGTTGGAGGGGAAGATGTCAAATATTTGGACGGAGCTTTTAATTGTCCTTTTGGTGACTTGGGCCAAATCAGAACTTTGCAGTATCCTATCGAAAGAGTGCATTCTCTAGCAAAACCTTCCTACTAATGATTATTTTTTTACAAGGCAAATTTATAACATATATAAAGGTTGTAATTATTTTAAGATCTGTTAAGAAAAAAAAAAAACATGCTGCCATTTGTACATAATGGTAGACCATGGTTTAATAGCCTGAAATTTAAGCTGCTAAATTTTGGGAAGCAGAAACTCCCTAAACAAAAGTTATGGTTTAATTCAGTTTGTGAATCATAAATCATGGTTCTTGGCTTTCTTTCTTGTACAAATTCATACAACTGGAGTTGAGCAATTAAACATAATTATAAACTACAAACATAACTATGGCATAGGGTTCCACTTGTTAACTGGTATTCAGAAACTAAGTAAATTTTCTAAACAGTAAACAATATTACGGCTCAAACTACATGTAGTGTAAGCCCTAATATTGTGGTTCACTAGCCAGCATGAATGTCATAGTGTATAATAATTAGCCAACAAATCATGGATGAATATGTTTATTATGAAGCTATCAACTATCTCTTTATTTTTATTTGTTTGGAGGATAAAGTGGAGAGGCAGGCATCCATATGTAAAATAATGTAGACAAAGGTAATAAATGGAAAAGGGATAAGAAAATATGCATATGAAAAGGCACTCTTAATTAACACAGGATTTCCTTCTCTTTGATAAGAACCAGGAAGAGACAATAACAAGGCAGAAATAATCTTTGCTGTGAAAACTTTTGCTCTACATTTAAATTTCATAGTGGACATTCAAATTTGCTATTTTTTAAATTGCATCTGCTTTCTGGGATACTGAAAAATATTTTAGGGGACAAAGAGATAAATCTATATTTATCAGATGCAAGTTTGTTGAACATGTATCCTTCGCCCGTTTGGCCTTAAATTTGCAAATGCTGGATTTGATACCTTTTCTAAACATTTTGTTTAAGAGTTTTGTTTTGTTTTTGCTTTCCTCTCTACAATTCATGAATACAAAGCATAGTAAACCAGACCAGCATTAAAAAAAAAAGTCCTATGAAATGCAGAGGGACCCCCTACCAAGGGAACACTGCTTTGATATAGATCATTGGCATTTACCAGCTGTATCAAAAAACAATATTTTCTCAAACCTTTTGTGCTTTGTTTCGCAAGTCATGATGCATAAGGTCTCCTAAAAGCCAAATGTTTCTTGGAAGAGTGGGGAGGCTGTTTTTAATTCCCATCTACATTTTGTTGATCTTTTGCTTTGTCTCCCTGCTTCAAATTTAAATGCATGCTGGTCATTTGTACTCTTCACAGCTGCATAAAGCTATTCTAGAGTGTTTGCAAAAGGAGTCATCGCTCTTTGCTAATACTTGTTGAGTTTTTAGCATCAAGCAGCATATCAACCGTGGACCATATTTGACAATAAAAAGGTGTCAAATAATTCCCTCTGAATAGAAGTGTGTGTGGGAGGGTTGTCATTGAGAATGCTCTGTGCATACTTTTGGAGAATTTTAAAGCGGTATTTTGTTTTATCTTCAGGCACAGTGAAGGTGAAAAGTTCTAATATTCAAGTGGGGGACCTTATCATTGTGGAAAAGGTATGACTGGATTTTTAAAAATGGTAATATTTTCCTCAATACAAATATCAGAGGAATTAGGATTTAGCAATTAATGATGTTGTCATTGTTATCCATTTAGTTGTGTTTGACTCTTGCTGATTCTATGGGCCAAATCTCTTCCAATCATGTACTACTTCTTTGAATTATTCTGTATTCTGGCTGGTGTCAGTTTTGATGGTGTAGCAATTAATAGTTAAAGCATATTGAACAGCAGGTTTCTTCCATTTCATGCCTCTCGATATGTTGGATTTCAGTAATCAGAATTCCAAACCATCAAATCTGATGGGCACCAAATTGGGAAGACCGCTTCATAATTGTACCCAAAGTCAAATACCGTATATTGCTAGAACTTCCAGACTGGGACTGCAAACATCCAGATGACCAGTACAGCACAGTGTTATATGTACTTCTATTCCTTTACCGGCCTCTAGCAGTTAACTGGATTTTGCCACCCAAATCTTGTGGTCTTAATTCTTGTTTAGAAGTTCATTAGAATTTCAGGTAGGAAGCTCCATTATTTGATTAGATTTGGACAGAAAGTTGAAAGCCTGCTTTGGTTTTCCGAACTCTTTAGATGCTTTTCCTATTCAGAAATGCTAGCGCTGACATTAATGCAAAAGGAAACTTTCTGAGGATATTACTGGAGCCACTTTCAAAGTAGAGAAGTATGAAGAGAAGAGAGCCTCGCAGCACAAAGATGAATTTGGTGGGAAGGCCTTCTCCACAAGGAGCATTCTATTATCATTAAACTTCTTGGCAAGTTGAAGGGAACATATTTGGTGGCAATCTCCTTTTTTTTCCTCTGTGCAAATTAATAGAGACACAGCAGATTATATGGGGAAAAAGAAGGGCAGCTGCTCTGAAACCAGATATAAAAGGAAAAGGAAAACCACATCCCTGATAAGGACATTTGGGGGCAGCAGAATCATTGCAATGGAAGGAAACTTCCCCAGATTAGCTATTTTCAAAAGACACGGATTTTTCTTTCTTTATTTGATAACTGCTCAAACAGATGTTTTCAAAGCAGTAGTTCCTGCTTATATTATTAACTTAAGTGGGAACCTTTGGAAGTGCATACATCAGGACAGCTGTCAAAGCCCCATAGCCTACGAAGTCTCCAAATGAGCATCACTTCAGCATAGGCCTGAAACCTTGCTAGTGTTCTGCTCCAGCTAGGATTTGGGTTTTGTCTTTAGGAAATCCATCCACCTCTACTTCACAAGTCTTAAGAGCTTGCTCTTTCCTGGTCTTTGGCAGTCATTCAGGGTTTAATGATTTGAATTTTATACTTTTGCTTTCATTGAATGGTGGCTGTATACAAATATATAATAACCATTTTGATTAAGAGAATAAATGGATATGTTATGATGGCAAAAATGTTCTGTTTATTCCCATATCACTTAAATATCAAATAACAGAATAACAGAGTTGGAAGGAACCTTAGAGGTCATCTAGTTCAAACTCCTGCTCCAGCAGGAGACCCTATACCATTTTGACTTCATTTTTGTAAATTGCCTCTTTCTATTGTGGGTGACCTAGAAGAGATTGGAATTTGAAGTTATGAAGCTGCTTGTGTAATATAGCTCTATGAATTTAGTTTGGATGGAATTGGACAATAATCTCTATATAATACACAATAATCAGCCTATCTCAATGAGCTCCTTCACTTAATAATTATATTGTTCCTGTTAAATGTTTTAATTGTAGTATATTGTAAAACCCCCACCACAACGCACAGAGTCATTGATTGAGATGGGCAGCTATAGAAATTGAATGAATGAAAAATAAACCTTCCTAGTCATATATTTCCAGTCAAAATTATGGACTGAATATTCATTGACTGCCTTTCTTTTCCCAATGAAGAACCAACGAGTCCCTGCTGACATGATTTTCTTGAGGACATCAGAAAAGAACGGTAAACATCTGGAACCCATTGTGAAAATAACCATTAACCTTTTGCCAGTTATAGGAGACATCATAATCATTTTGAACATGTAACCTAAGTAGGTACAATTTTAAACTTGGTGAGTCTGACCAACTCAAACACTCATTTTCAATAGCTCAAGTTTCCTTCTTATTTTATAATTGGTGATTTTTTTAAAAAAAACATAGAGCTTGTTTATCTTGCAGGACGTCCTGTTGTGTAAGGTCAAGCAGTGTGAAGGAAAGGGAGATTGATGTGGCATGCTGGCGGTAGCTTGGGATTCATTGAGCTTCAGATTAACTTCTGTTCTGAGATGTCCCACCATTTGTTCAGGCAGCTTGCAAACTCTAGGCTACTGAGGCTTTATGTTTATGTAATCACCAATTCTGAGGCTTCTTCATAATATTTATTTACTTCTACCTAAATTGAACTGTGGGGAAAGAAAAGCATGATTTTAAAACTACTTCATAAAGTAAAGACAGTGGGATCCTGCCTGGATGTGATAATATTTATCAAGGGAATAGCTGCCAGTAGCACTGTTGACTCAAGTGCAATCATATTATAGTCATGGTGGCCACAGTCAAATTGTTTGTAGGTCACACAGAGACTGTGACCCACATCAAAAGATGGTTTGGGGGCACACATGGAGCTGCTCTCAACACTGAGGTTTTAGGGTTATTATTTGGCATAATGTTAGTGCCCCCCCCAAAAGAATGATGTATAAAAGTAAATGGTAAAACCTCTATATTTTCAGCTTATAGAAATTTGTGATAATTCTGATTTGTGCAAAGTACCAATATTTTGTGTCTGGTACAAACTAAAGCTGAGTGTTTAGAGACTGCTGCATGGATGATAATCTTTCTGACATGAAAGTGATTAGATCTTCACCACCATCTTACATGGAGTCCAACATGCAAGGAAGGGACTGCATTGAGGAAGGCAGGTCTACTCTACATTTTCCTCAGCATGCTGTTTGCTGTGTTGTTTTTTTAATAAGGGAAGTCCCTCAGATCAACCCCACAATTAATTATAGGTAAAACACATCTCTCTTCACTGAGTTAAGATTCTTCCCCTGCTGTACCATGTAGGTTACACTTTTCTATAAAGAATTAGTTTTAAATAATGAGGTATCATATTTCCTATGTATAGCATGTGGGGAGGGAATTAATTCAAATGAATATTTCCATAGGGTCCTGCTTTCTCCGAACGGATCAGCTGGATGGTGAAACAGATTGGAAACTGCGACTGCCTGTCAGCTGTACTCAGAGGTTACCAACTGCTTCTGTACGTAACACAAACGTTATTTTAATTACACAACTTAACATGTGTCATTAAAAAAAAATCTCCCACTGATGTATTTTTCAAACCAATTTGTAGCCTACGTGCTGAATTAAATCTTAGTGGTTTATTTGGGCATATCTTGGCCTATGGTTCCTATAGGGGAGCTGGATAATTATGCCAGGGGTTCAGTCCTGACCAGCTCAAGGCTGACTTAGCCTTCCATCCTTCCGAGTTGGGTAAAATGAGGACCCAGATTGTTGGAGGCAATATGCTGACTTTGTAAACCACTTAGAGAGGACTGTAAAGCACTGTGAAGTGGTATATAAGTCTAAGTGCTATTGCTATTATAATGAATTGTGCCCCTTTTCTGTCTTCATACTCTCGTCTTCTTTTGTAGGACCTTCTTCAGATCAGGTCATATGTGTATGCAGAGGAGCCAAATATTGACATCCATAACTTTGTTGGGACATTCACAAGAGTAAGTACTGACTTTGTTGTTTAATAAAAGAGAAAAGTAAAACTGTTTCTTAAAAAATTCAGGAGAGCATTGGGCTTAAAGGCCTTTAAAACAATATTTTGAGATGTTCTACATGTTCCATATAGATTTTAGACCAAGGTAACACTTTCTGTAATGAGCTCTGTTGGGACATGTGCTGGATGAATGATCTTTTCATTTGGAGAGATTTTGTTTTCTGAAAGTGATGTATAACAGAGAGATTTACCATGTAACCTCCCAGCTTTGTCCCAATCAACAATTGCATTTTACAGCTTGGAGCTTTGGGGAAAATGTTCAGATTGGTAGATAACAATTCCTTTCACAAAGCTTCAAGTTTCCTTGGAAATCACAATTTTTATACTTGGGGAGTACACAGCTTTCAAGATAAAAATTATACCGTTCCATGGGTAATTGTAATTAATCTAAACAAATATGTTTGGAGATGAACAACATAAAATGTAGTTTGTTCTTGTACTACAATCTTGTAAGAGGAAATAATAGAATTGGCACTGACTTTTTTCTTTTTTAACAACACATCATCAAATATAATTGCCTAATTTTCTAATCAACATAAAGCATGGGAAATGATTTAGACACCACATCGTTGTTTGTCTTAACTGTTCATTAACAAGTGATAATGGTTAGTACATCTGTAGCATTAAACAGTTATGGTAAACTGTATCATCCTGGTAAATCAAAAGCTTGGTTTGTTATTTTATTGTCTGGGAAACCAGCCATTGTAACTTAATCACCATTTAAAACAATCCAGAAGGATATTTAAAAAGGAGACATACATTTGCTCCATATAAGAAGGTTGTTCAATTAAGAAATGATTTAGTATTTAAAGTGCCCAGGTAGATCACTAGTTTTCATTCAAGGCAGTAAGATTATGTTCCATAATGATAATTATTTTAATATTTTGAGTTTCCCCAAGCACATGTTTATTCATTTCAATTGGCAAAAGACATATAATTTTGGATGGAGGGATGAAGAGAAAAGCTAGAAGGAAGAGGACAGATGTCAGTAAATAGTTTCCCCTGTATGTTAAAAGGGTACTTACTTAATATAATGTGTGAACTTAACCCTGGAGTTAAAAATGTTGGTTTACATAGTGCAAACCTACCTTTTGTAACTGGAAAAGGCTACCTGCAGGTTCAAGCTAACATCACTGTTTTCCTTTGTTGCATAATTTATTTAAAATGAGATGCTCAGAAACAGCTACAGACAACCACACAGCATTTCCTGAACCTTTCAGATTTGAATGATAATATATGATGTAACCAGCAGGCTGTTGAACGTACATTACCATAATCTGTCAGGGTTTTGTGTTATCGGGAGCTGCAGTTCAACCGTTGGTTCTTGTAGCCTGCATCACTGAATGTCTTGACACATATCACACTCCAGCATTGGCTTCACACCTGGGGTGACAGGCAAAGAACCCTGTGGTCTTTCAGCATCTGAGGATTGGAGCAACAGTGCTGAAAAATTTAAACATCTCTGATCATTTATGAGATTCTAGAAATGGTGTGTGAACCTTTAAAAAAAATATGCACAAGGCATTTTTGTTTTTTTTTCCTTGACTCTTTCAGGAGGACAGTGACCCTCCTGTGAATGAGAGCTTGAGTATTGAAAATACCCTCTGGGCTAGCACAGTAATTGCTTCAGGTAAGGCCTGATGTGTGAATTTCCCAGGGAATATGTTAGCAATTTTTTAAGTCTCTTTGTAATTGAAAATAATCATCTCTTGTCAATGGAAATTAGGGGTTGGAATGAAGTTTTCCACTTGTGCTAACACTACCAAGGGTTTGATTTGACATCTAATTACCCCTTTGGACATTTATAGATGATAAGACCTTTGGAATTCCAATAAATAACCTTTGGAGAAAGCATCCACTGCTAGAATAGCACTTAATTGCTCCCTATATTGACATTTTAAATCAGTTACAGAAAGGGTGTCAGGGAGACTTTTAAAGGGAAGCTGGGATAAAAGATCTGCAAATAAATGGGGTTCCCCATTTGTGACTCCAAAGGAGAACATCTGATAAAAGCAAGAGCAGATGTATCAGGCTATAGTTGGGAGAAATCAAAGGCTTTTCTCTGAAGCGTATTTCAAGAAACAATTCGACTGTCACTCCCCTGAGATGGCTAAATATACTCACCTCTTTCTCTATAAGCTTTCCATCTTGTTGAGCATTTAAGGCATGGATGTGCTGCTTTCAGGGAGGGAAGTTCATGGTAGTTAGCTGACTGAGAGGCATGTCAAAGGCAGAACCTTCAAAAGAGATGAGACCAGAACCATGAATTAGGTAGTGCCAGGATCGTTTCTGTGATTTGTTTGCTCTGTGATTTAATCAGACAACTTTTGTGCCATGTGTTGCCTGCATTCTTTGCTGAAGCTTCCCTGAAACCTGGCATTCTCTGATGTGTTGTCCTTGCAGCTAGCAAAATTGTCAGCCAGCCGAACAATTGGCTATGATTCCTGAGAGCTGCTATTTCAACAGATCTGAAGGCAACAGTTTGAGGGATGCTAATTTCTATATATGATTTTTGGGTTTGATTGTTATAGTATATGCATGGAGTTTTAAAAAAAACAACATAATTTACTGGAGTAAAAACTCTTAAATTCTCCCAAAAGGATTTTATAGCATAAGATGCCACTGGATGTTTAATGTCAAAGAAAGGAACCATAATTTATAGTATTGGGGTTAATCATGATACCTGTTCTTAGACATATTTTAAATTAAAATTCTATCTTTAGTTTTGGTCTCATCTGTGCATATTTTCTCTTGACACTTTTCATGTCCTGTCCTCTAAGCATCAAAAAAAGATTGCTGTGCTGTTTTAATAACAGAATGTATGTTTATTGTTTCATTTTTAAGTTCTATCAGTATTTTCAAATTATTGTGCCTATGCATGTAAATTGTATTGGTTAAGACCTGTTTATAAATTAATTAAAACTCATGAATAAATTGATTACCAGTGTAAATTATCATCCTAGGTTCCTTGGTGGCACTTTTGTGTCTTTTTTGTGGAGCCCAAATATATCTAGACCATCTTTCTCCAATTTAGCATACTTAGGTTATTTTAAATTGCACTTTCCATCAGCCTCAGGCATCTTCATCAACATTGACTTGGAGAGATTGGCATTGTAACCCAGCATAATTGGAAGGTTTCAAATTGAAGGATATAAGCCTGAAGACCAAAGCATACATCTACTATACATCACAGTCTAGAATATTGTTTTATTCTTTGGCATGGTTGTATTCTTGCCAAAAAGATTAGTCAACATTATTGGATTCTGTGAATCAGATATCTTGCAAAAGGAAAAACAAAGCTTAAGTATTAATGATATACAGTATACCTCACTGATGTTTTCATAGAATTTATGAACTGGTTAAATGGTTCAACTACTTGTTCAAGGTACACAATTGCACTGAATCATCACTGATAAGTGACCATCAATGTCATTTGAAACCTCTACTGAGAAAAAGTCCAGCTCTTTCCCTAGAAGGCTGTTCTAGTGCACTATATATAGGAGAACAATAATAATGTAGTAATAATTTATATGAATAGAATGTATGAATGGTGTTCTTGCTTCAATTCTCAGGGACAGTTGTGGGAGTTGTTCTCTATACAGGCCAGGAGCTACGCAGTGTCATGAATACCTCAAATCCACGCAGTAAGGTAAAAGAAATAATTTCCTCATTTATTAATTATTTATTTATTAAACAAATTGATATGGCCACCCTATTTGCATACAGGTGACTCTGAGCTGCTTATAATTGCAATAATTGTTAATGCAAACAATCTTTTTCTCTTTTTAAGATCGGTCTCTTTGACTTGGAAGTTAACTGTCTAACCAAGATACTTTTTACGGCCTTGGTTGTGGTCTCCCTTGTCATGGTCTCCCTCCAACACTTTGCTGGCCGCTGGTACCTTCAGATCATCAGATTTCTTCTTCTGTTCTCAAATATCATTCCTATCAGGTATAAATGTATTTATTGTACTCCTTAAAAATACTGCCGTATTTTTGATATTCTTCTTCATTTGAGCCATAAATGATTTGCTCCATGTCCTTAGCATAAGCCATAAGGCTACTCTTCTTATTTTCTAATGAAAAGTGCTTCCTTGAAGGCTAAAGCAAGCATGCTAGAAGTTCTTGCATTGATAGGTTTTACAGTTTCAGGCCATGGTGAATTCTACATGAATGGGCTAGCTGAGCTTTAGGATTATGCAACCTCTTTGGGATATGTGGGTAGGAAGTATCAGTCTTTCATTCCTCATTAGGAGCAAACCAAATCCTGTGCTTTAAATAAATCAATATTGCCCAAATCTGTGTGTAACAAGTAAATAATAACCTCCCTATGCTTACAGAGTGGAGGGAGCAGCATTGCAAGAACTGATTACTTTATGTGTATAATTCATCTATACAAATTATAGTTTGCAGCCTGGAAAAGGCCTGTAGAGCTGCAAATATTTAGAGCAGTGCTGAGGAACTTGGAACCCTCTGTTACTCAGCTAACATTCCCACTAGTCTCATCATTGCCTGGGCTGACTGGCTTGGTTGAATGATAGAATTCATTAGCATTTGGCCTACTATGATTTCCCAGCTCCAGTTTGGGGAATCATCACAAGTATCCCTTATTTTTAAGAAATTCATTTAGAATTTTTGGCTTGATGTAGGTCATATTGATAAGGAGCATTTTAAATATAGGAAGTAGAAATATTAAACATAGAAAACAAGTGACAATTCTCCATGTGAGAAACTCTAAAATTTCTCCCTATACTAAACTGTTGCACTTTAAAAAAGGCTGAATCCATTTCTTCACACTAAGCCATAATATGCAAAGTCATCCATTCTTCATCATTTTGACACCAGATTATAAAAAAATGTCATGATGCAAACTTTGTTTTTTTGTACTTGTGTCACAGCGTTCAGAAGAGTCTGAATAGTGATATCACTAGATGTCACTCGCCTTCCCTTGTTCCTTACAGTGAATGCCAATGATAATGTGATTTATTTTGAGCTTAGTGCAATGGTGAACCAATTACTATGCCTTATCCAACATACCTTATTTAAAACCCACTAAGTGTTATGTTTGAAAACAGCTAGAGATCCAGGTCACGAATTTCCCATATATTACGTAGCTTAACTATGAGTTTTGAACTGGATTACAACATACTCCCTATTACATAGTTTGCTAATAATGGCCAGATTTTAAATGATTGCTTCACACCACATCTTACCTTCAAGTGATTTTTATTTGATATGATCCTAAGTACTGGGTTACAAATGTCATCTGGGGCAACACTGCTCTCTGGCTTTAGAAACGAGACAATGTGTTTCTATAAATCCTGTGTAAGAAAGCAGCATCTGATTCAGATTCTTATCTAATTTTTATCCTGGTGTTATCCATGGATAGTTGCAATCCCACATATATAGATGGAGCCAAATTGGGGTAAATTGCAAGGGACCAAACCTCTTCAAATATTCTTCATACCAGTTTTTAAGGCATGTTTTTGAGTAAAATCCTAATTACAACCTATTGTTGCTTCTTCCTTATCCCCTCTTCCTTTTATGTAGTTTACGGGTGAATCTTGACATGGGAAAAATTGTCTACAGCTGGATGATCCGGAGGGATTCTAAAATTCCTGGCACAGTAGTTCGATCTAGCACAATCCCAGAGCAGCTAGGCAGAATATCCTATTTGCTTACTGATAAGACAGGTATTTTCATATATATAGATACATTTTTTGCAGGACATAGAATCAAGGTTCTGTTGCAATTGTTTTGTTGTGTTGTGAAAGATCTTAGTGCATTTTTCTGAATGTACAAAGTGAATATGAGATACATGACAACCTGACAATACTTTCAGTTTTGAATGGTATGCTGGGCACTGTGCTTTAAAAAGCAGTGGCTGGATGAAGCAGAAAAAGCAAATTTAATTCTAGTTATACTTAATTAATATTTTAAAAATGGCTAATACTTTAACATATTTAATAATTTTCTGATTTATTTTAACTTTAAAGATTACAATCCTGTAACAATATTTTGATACCTTTTGGGATGTTTTTCTTTGCAATGCATGGTCTTTAGTTTAAGGCAGCACTGGTGCTAGAGACTTAGAAATGTTTCTTGGTGTTTAATTTCCTCTTTCTGTGCCATAATATGTAATTTTCCTATTCTAGGGACTCTAACACAGAATGAGATGGTTTTCAAACGTGTCCATCTTGGAACAATGGCTTATGGGTTTGACTCCATAGATGAAGTTCAGAGCCATATTTTTAGCATATATACACTGGTAAGCAAAATTATGAGACTATGTCAGAGTTAAGGAATGATGGGATTAAAAGATGTTGCTGAACCATAATTCTGGAATCAGGAAATTACGTTTTCTTACTGTTTCTGTATGAAAGATGAAAAATCAGCTAAGCCAGAAGTTCCAGCAACCTCTGGAGGGTCATGAATCTGCCACTCATGACATATGCTATGATAAATCCTGAAAAATCAAACTTTTTGTTAAACACAGCATTCAGTATTACATGGCACACTTTTTTGAAACTGACTAGCATTTCCTTCATTTGTAAAACCCATTCCTAGTTTTCTCTCCATATTAGTTTTTCCAGTTTTCATTTCCATAGAAAATTTGTTGAGAAGGAAAAAAATTGGAATGATTGCACAATGTCTTATAACAGGGCTTTCTTTCTTTCTTTCTTTCTTTCTTTCTTTCTTTCTTTCTTTCTTTCTTTCTTTCTTTCTTTCTTTCTTTCTTTCTTTCTTTCTTTCTTTCTTTCTTTGCCTTCAAATCATTTTTGACTCCTGCCAACTGCCTGGACAAATTCCTTTAGTTTTCTTGTCAGAGTTTTTTGGAAGTGATTTTCCATTATATAAGTTAAACAAACAAACAAACACCTTCCAAGGACTGAGAGAAAAGAACTGGCCCAAGATGGGACTAGAACACAGTCTCCTGGTTTCTTAAGCACTAGACAAACTGACTTTTTAATTGACATATTTTCTCCATGATGCATATAGTCTTGTAATAACAAAAATTTAATACTAGAGAAATAATGAAATTAACCCAGACCTTTAGCTGACCTTTATTCATTCCTTTCTCCAATAAAGACAGAAATAGGAGATTTATCTTTTCTGGCTAGAGACATTTTAGCTCCTGTTTTTAAATAGGTGTAGAAGAAGGGAAGCAAACAACACTTAATGCTAGCTTTGTTTTTATACATCTTCTTTCCACAAATCAGAGTAATAGGAGAGATACAACTGGGGCAGGAAAAACTTGTGTGTTTTTTTTTTTAAATTGAGATTTTAAAGCTCTTCACATTCTATAAGAAATTTGCTTCAAGGGTGGAACGGGAACATAAGTTCTGGTCTTGCCCTCCTTCTCCCTCCACCCCAGAACCTGCCTTCAGCACAACCCAGAGGTTGGCACACCTGCAGCAATACCACAAAACAACTTTGGAAACCCCAAACTTAAACTAACAAAAATAGATGTCCAAGAGTTTACAAAATTTGTTGGTCTTGTGAGGTTTCAGCCCATGAAAAAGTTCCTCAGCATAATCTGACAATGACCTTGTATGTGTAAATTATATTACTCCAGGTTCTGTATACACAATCAAGGACCCTTAAATAGGCTGCCTCCTAGATAATTTGTCCTCATCTCAAGTTAACTGGAAGCAGGAATAGTGGATCTGCAGATCACTGTTCTATTTCCTGGCTCCAACCTGTAGCCAAGATCAACTTTAATAAACATAGTTTCATGTAATAAGATGAAAGAAGCAGCTGACAGTGGTAAGGGTTTTCTCAATGAGTGCAAGCTTAAATGTAATTGAAAGGTTAGAATCTCTGGTAATTGAAAGCATTTGCAGGCCATGATTCATTTAAACTGTAGTTCTGATTCATTGCTCTAATTATTGGTACCATGCTATGCCCTTTGACCTGGAAGTGAAACTTTTGTCCTCTTGACACGAAAGGTTAACAGAACAGGAAACTCAATGGTTATATATTCCCCCGTGACCAGCATAATTTAGTAATTGTGAAATTAACTGGAAGGTTTGGTGCAGACTCTGAAAACAGTAATAAAGATTAAAATTTTCTACCTCATATCTGTCCATTTTTTTTTCTTTTCTATGTTTATAATATTATATCCTATACATTTCATTAAACATCTTTTGCTATTTTTTCCCTGTAAATTTATATTTTTATGGAGCTTAATGCTACCAATGAAAAGTAATCTGTCCTCTCTTGATCAATGAAGAACATAGAATAGAATAGGATAGAATAGGATAGAATAGGATAGGATAGAATAGAATAGAATAGAATAGAATAGAATAGAATAGAATAGAATAGAGAATGCTATATTGGCCAAGTGTGATTGGACACACAGGGAATTTGTTGTGGTGCAAATGCTCTCGGTGTACATAAAAAGAAAAAAAAATACATTCGTCAAGAATCATAGGTATAACACTTAGTAGTCAAAGAAAACATTCCTGTACAGTTGTCCTTTTGTTGTTGTTGTTTGTCTAAATTGAACCATGCAATGGATAGACCAGGAACTACACATAGATGATGATGTTGTTGGTTTGTTCTCTGAACTTGTTGTTTTGATTATGAACATTTTGTCACCAGGTAACATCATTAGGGAAACCGCAGTTGAAGTGTCTTGTTTCAGTTCTCTTCTGCTTTTATAGGTCTTATCTGATCAGTTGGTCATGTGATTGACTAGCCATGCTAACTAAGGGTCAGGTGTCTGGTGTGGCCAAGACACTTAGATGTCTTGGCAACGTACATTGATTAGCATCTGACACCCACTTCTGTAAAATTAGCAACAAGGAAAAGCTTTTCCCCTCCCCTCTAAATTTTGATTGCTTAAATTCATAGGACATGATAATGATCTTAGTCGTGTTATTGATAACAAATTCCCAGCTGAAGCATGTCCTTAGGGGTAGAGAATTATAGGAACTACTCCTTAAAATAATCTTGAGATAGGAGAACAATTGATGCAAGCTCCTATGTAACAGTAATTAACAGCAACAAGTAATTCTACAAGGAGTTATTTGGGAGAAATGTTATTTTTATTTTCTACCTCTTCCTCAGATTTCTTTACTGTACTGCTATAACATTGCCAACTCCTTTGCTTCCTTCATTATAATGTTATCCAACAGGGTGGATCTTTGGTGTTTGAGAGAACAATTTATCTCACCAGACATTCCCCATATAATAAATCCTATTATTAACAGTAAGATTAGGCATGGATCCCTAACTGTTCTGTCTCAGGCACCCATTTTTATAAGATTATTTCGGTCCAGTCACCAAATGCACAGGCCCCTTCTCCCAATTCCAAATATTCAGTATTCAAATATTCATATTGATTACTATGGTCAAAATATTTTAGGGTTATGAAGACAGCAATGCTGAGAGAGAGATTATACTTGCTAAAAGTATCTTCCAGATGCACAATATTTCAAGGGCCATTTGTCTCTTGAACACAATTTTAAAAGTGAATGCATTTCATTTGGAGGAGTATAGGGCTGTTTCCAGCACTGAGCATACGCCAGTCTGGCCACAGTCAGTATATGTAATATTATATATTTTACATTTTTAGCATATTTTTCCCTAAATAATCCTAATAAGAACAATTCTGGTTTTAATTCAATTTGTTCCTTTGTAATTTCTTCCAACCATTTTTTTTATTCTCAACCAATATTTTTGAGATTCTGAGCAGGACCACCACATGTGGTAGAATGTACCTTCCTTTTTTTTACACTTCCAACATGTTGGACTCATATTGGGGTACATCTTCGGCAATCTCGAAAGGGGTAAGAAACAGGACATTTTGAGGAAATGCTACACTAGATAAATTATTTCTAGTTGCCTTTGTGGGCTAGGCTAATAAATTATTTACTTTTTCTGTTCTACAAGGTACTTTTATCATAACTTTTGATTTTCAGAATGATCAGACTCACAAGAAGGGTATTAGTTGCAGGATATTAATTTCAATCAACCTATTTTTCCCTCTCCTTTAGCAGTCGCAGGAACCACCTGCTTTAAAAGCACCCAACCTGGCCACCAAAGTACGAAAAACCCTGAGCAGCCGTGTCCATGAGGCAGTGAAAGCAATTGCTCTCTGCCACAATGTGACTCCTGTCTATGAATCAAATGGTGTGACAGATCAGGCTGAAGCTGAGAAGCATTATGAAGATTCTTGCAGGGTGTACCAAGCTGCTAGTCCTGATGAGGTAAAATGATCCTCAAAAGAATGTTATTGTATTTTTATTTCTTCTTAAGATGCCTGTTTTTTTCCTTTTGTTTTCCAAATATGGTTAATGGTATTCTGATGGATAATATAAGTACAGCTATTAAATTTCATATGACATTAATGTTTGGAATTTATCCATGGCAATGTAATTGGTTTATATAAATAAGATTTCTCAAATCCTACAATTTTCTTTTATTTCCATTCAATCATGTCTAGTTTTCATAGACTGCTAGGATAAGTCCCTGCAGGTTTCTTGGCAAGATTTTACAAAAGTACCTTCCTAGAGCTGAGAAGAAACTAGTGTCCCCAGGTCACCCAGCCAGCTTTATGTCCAGGAGGGACTAGAACTCACAGTCGCCCAGTTTTTAACCTGATGCCTTAATCAGTGTTCCAACTGACTCTCATAAGCAAATATACCAGAATTTTATTTTGTTTTAAAAGTTACATATTTCATGATAAAATCCTGCCCTGGAATATAATTTCTTGGCAATATAAGTCTTCCCATTGTCTTCACCCCTTAAAAAGCTGGCTTCTTTTTTTAAAAAAAAAGAAGGGTAGGGTTCTTTTCTGAATTTTGATATTGCTGAGCCATTCCCTGTAGGAAATCAGTGAAATATTGCTTTAACAGACTTCTAAAAAATCTACCTTTGAAACTCTATAGTAATAAAATATTGCTAAGTCAGGAAGATCAGTTAATGTTGAAATTCGAACAAAACCTTGAAGGTCCATCTCCCTACCCCCCTTTTTCTGAACAGAAAGGATAATTTCTACCAGTTGGCACAGCATTCATTTCCTGAAACACAAAGCAGAGCTTCCTACATTTGTTTCCGGTGTGCATTCCTGGGCCAAGGCTCCTGAAAGCATCTTTATGGAGAGATCAATTACAGCCTCTGGGGCTCCGTCATTCTGTCTGATTGAGGCCTTACAGTAAGCAAGGGGGAAATGTAAGAGGTAGAATCTGATCAGATAACTTGCCCAGGAGAAGACTTGACCAAATGGCCTTTAACCCCCAAAACACCTCACCACTTTCCAGAATGTGAAAAAAATGTGTCCATCAACTACATTACAAGCAGCTGTTCACAGAGATCCTGCCATGGAAATGAGACTTTGAAGTATGGGGGGAAAAGTAAGAAGGGGTCTCTTTATATCTCTGCAGGTCTGAAGCGGCATTAATCAATAGCCTTGTTGGCCAATAAATTCAGATGAGTTCGTGAGCATGGAGTGTTCAATTGCTAGAAAGTTACATGAACACTAGCCAATAATTAGAGGGCTATAGCAAGACTATTATCTTACGTATTGATATAGAATTTCATGATTGGCATCAAAGTAGTGATGAGCTTTTGGGATGAACAGCCATGATCTAGTTTGCTTTTGTTCTGATGTTTCACCAAAAGCTGTGGTTGACATCTTCAGAGGTGGAGTGTGTTGCTTTGTGGTATGTGCTTCTGAAGATGCCAGCCACAACATCGGCTGAAACGTCAGAACAAAATCAAACTAAACCATGGCCATTCAGCCCAAAAACATATCACTGCTCCATTGCCATCTTATGCTGTGGTAATAGGCAGAATTAGCCTGCGGTAATCCTAGGAATTGCCCTTATGAAGGAGATCTTTTGTGTTTTTAAGAGAAGTGCTTATAGGTGCATAGATTAAATAAGAAGTAAGCAAGCAAGCAAGCACTTTCAGAGAGGCAGTTTTTGGTTTAATACAGGCTGTGGTTTACACAAACAAATGCCAGATTGTTAATTCCTAAAAGCCATGTGCCTTTCCCTTTTGTTAGATCTAGATTCACTAATCCATCATCTAAGAACAGCATTTTAACAACACTTATTGCATGGAATAACATATGTAAATTTAACATAATCACATTAAACTGCATACCAGCTGTGCAACGTAAGATAGCCCTCTTTTTTTCAGTTTGAGGACAAAGGAGGAGAGAGATTGGTCAACCCAAACCATTTGACCTCAAGGACTGGATTTTTGACTTACCACTTTTTCTTGCATGTGGTAGAAATCCCTGCATAAAAGTCCTTTATTTGAAAAGGTTAATCTCATCTTCCTCAAATAATGATTTTATGAAGTTCCTCCTCACTCAGCAGCACACTATGTGATGATTGTCACGTACTCAGAGAAAACTCATATTTTGAATATAGATATTTTGAATATAGATAGGCAGCCAAAGCAATACTACTGACAGAAAAGAACCTAGATACCATCAGGGGAAATTCTTAAATGCGCCCAATTTCTTAAAAGGTGAGACATTCCCCCACCCCCAGTTCAATGAGAACTATGCTCCCACTAGTGGAAAAATGCTGATTAAAAAGTATGAGAGGAGGAGAAAAAAGAGTAGAAATTAATGAGAAATTATTGAGCATCTTGAAAACTGGCATCCCTGAGGAAGAAGCAATCCATGCTGCATTTTTTAGTTGCAGCTCCTTTGTGCAAGTTACATAGAGGAAGTCCTCCACTTACGACCAAAATTGAGCCCAAAATTTCCATTGCTAAGCCAGACAGTTGTTTACATAAGTTTTTTGTCATAAATGCATGCCAGTTGCCAAGTGTCCAAATTTTGATCACACGACCGTGGAATGTTGCGACAGTCTTAAGTGTGAAAAACAATCATAAGTCACTTTTTTCAATGTTCATTTAACTTCAAATGGTCAGTAAATGAATGGTTGTAAGTTAAGGACTACCTGTATGTCAAATATGATTGCTAAAGCACAAGAAGCAAAAAAAAGTTTGCTATATGGCAGAGGTGTCAAACTGGCGGCTCGCGGACCGGATGTGTCATGTGTAGGCCACGCCCACCCCAGTTCCACACATGGGAAAACGTCATGAAATATCACATGACAGTAACGTGACGTGGCGAATTTGACACCCGTGCTACATGGGAAGTTAATAATGGCTGCAGCCTAGGAACCTTCATTGATGGGAGTATATCCTGAAATTAATCTTCTATTCCATATCTTATTACATAATATTTGGGCAAAGAGATGCAGAGGAAATATTTGGGTGTGTTAGTTTCAGAGTAATTCATTGGAACTCACAGTGAAAGATAAATTGATCCTCACACTCAATAATCATGGTATTTATAAATTGTTATTTTCTGAATATTTTCTACATTTTCTCCTGACCTAGCAACATGGTTGACATTAAGTCAGCATGTTTTCCTTTTCCTTTCTTCATCACAGGGGAAAAAGATTTAAAAAAAAAAAAAAAGTTTAGCAACAAAAAAACAATGTTGGTAGTGAAAAAACATGCATTAAGAACTTTTTAAAATTTATCCAGAGAAAAATTATTAATGGGACAAAAGTTACGTTATTCACTGTTATTTTATTCTTATTTTAGTATACCTTTCAGGGTGCTGAAATTGCTCAGTCATTTACCTTTGAGATTCTTGAGTAGTGTTTCTCAACCTTGACCACTTCAAGATACGTGGACTTCAACTCCCAGAATTCCCCAGCCAGCATGCCTGGCTTTTACACGTCTTGAGGTGGCCAAGATTGAAAAACACTGTTCTAGAGGGATGGGATGAAAGGAGGGCAAGATTGGGAACCTCAGCCTCAGGGACAGGTCATTCTCTCAATTGCTGTCCCATCCCAACCCCAACCATACAAACCACGCCTGCTAGTCCCAGGTGTTATCAAACTAAAAAGTCACTTCTAGCCAAGGCAAAGGCTGAGGAATCCAGGAGAAGAAATGGTACAGTTAACAATCAAATCACTTTCTTATTCGCTTTGCCTGTTTCCCTCCTCCCTCCTGTTGCATTCGGTTGACCTCTGAACCCACTAGCTCAGCAGTCTATCTGACCTATGACTTCTCTTGTACTTAGGTGGCCCTGGTGCAATGGACAGAAAGTGTTGGCTTGACACTGGTTGGAAGAGACCAGGCTTCTGTGCAGCTGAGGACTCCTGGTGGCCACATTCTAAACTATACCATCCTCCAGATTTTCCCCTTCACATACGAAAGTAAACGAATGGGGATTATTGTTCGGGTAAGATGGATAAGCACATGGGGAGAAGCATTCTCTGTAAATTGGGGTGAGATTTCAGGGTTTTAGGAATCCATTTATTATTGTGGGTTGGTTGATTATACAGTCAGCCAAATATTTAGACTGGGTTTGGCATTTTTAACCACCTAAAAGTCCTTCCTAAGGATCTGGGATAGGCAGATGTTGTTGTTTAATTATGTTAATTATATTGTCACCGGATATAAACTGTTCCTAGTAAAGATGCCTTTTGCAATTGACACATGGAGATTTTGTCAATGCCAGTGGTATTCAAGTGCTGCTCCAGATGTATTGTTATTATTTCTTTATTAAGATATTTTATAAAGCAGAGCCTGGTGCAGAATATATAATTACCTGTAAATGATTCATATCTCTCTTTTTTTGTTTTAAATTTAGGATTAACATATGGATGTGTGTGTTATACATTGCCATAATATGTAGAGACATCCTTTTCCTAATCCCTGGTTTATATATTGCTCTTCAGAAACTGTTGATGGAATTGTGGTCTGCATAATGGGAATAGTTAGGAATGATTGCTAAAACACTCCTCTAGAATCTTAATACTAAAATGTTTTGAACAGAATGGAGCTCATAGTCATTCTATACAAAGAATAGTAATATCTGCCTGTTTTTCCAAGCTGCTTTCATTTCCTCAGATTAAAACTCTGTTCTTAATAATCAATTAGGGGTCAAAAAATTATCTCCAAAAGTACTGCAAATTATCTAGAGACCCATTGGAAGAATCTGATCTACCTTCTAACTCCATCCTCTTGAATTGATTACCAAGTTAATCAATTCTTATTGGGTCTTCCAGCAGTGGAGAAAATGCCCAATGAAATTTTTTTTCTGTCATAAGAAAACTCCCAGCTTATAGAGAAGGTTCAGAGAGGCTGATATTTCTGAATCTTCATTTTCCTACATTTCTATTCCTAATTTCCAAATCACAACTACGATGTATTTCCTACATATGCATGCATAAATTGGGACAGGTTTTTTTTGTTTAAGTGGATGAAAATATTGAGAGATAACGTGTTGATGTATGTGATATGGAAAAATAGAAAGGGGAAAGGATAGGCAAGTCTCACATACAAGAACACTGTTAGGAATAAGATGTTGGATCGTGTTTGTTTTGCTTATAACTTTGTGGCTGAGTTTTAAAAAGGCCAAATGCCTTTTCTAGATTCTCTAGCTGCCTTGCAAATAGTAAAACAATTAGCAATCTCCCTCTCCCTGAGTTTTGTAGCATCTTCTTCTTAAGAGGGGTCTGTTAAAGATTTATCCACTTTCATAGTATCTGATTCCAGAGATCCTCTTATAGCCAACAGGCAAATAAGACAGTTGCTGCCTCTTATTGGTAGGGTGGTAGCTGTTTGTTCAACCACAAAAACTTTCCAGTCTCTCTTCTTCTGAGCTGTTGGAATGGAGAATGGTGTTTTTTTTTTTTTTTTTGGTTGCAACTCAGAAACTGCTATTGTCATGTATCAAGTGGGAGTTGGGGGAGGGAGGGAAAGGCCTTTGAACCTTGGCCCAAAATCAGACTATGGTGGAAAAAGATGTGGTTGAGAAACAATACAACTGGCAAATCTTTCTGCAGATTTATACTTGTAATCGTGCCATATCATGGGAATGTGCTAACCTCCTACTGAACTTGTTGAGAGGAAATGACTAATGCAAGGAGATAGTTGATATGATATTTATATTGGACAAAAGATCTAAATGCTCATAAAAGTAGTTCTGCGCTGCAGGAAGTGGACTTTCTTGTTAGTTTCCTATCAAAAAGTTATTAAAACATATCTCAACGGTTTCAACATGTAATGCACAAACATTGATCTTAATTTGTGTTGGAAATATTTTAAGGTGTTTTTTTTCCCCCTGGCACCCTTGGATTTGAAATTGGAAGTTTGCATTGACACATGACTTCATTGTCATGTATCCTTTTGTCAAAGATGACAATAATATGCCACTGCCATATGTAAAAGCCACTGGCATAAATAAGGCTATGGTGTTTATCTTTGTGTTGGTTTCCAGCCTCAAGATATTACAGTACTAAAGAAGATCGTTGGTCAAGTTCATATAAATGTTTTAAAAAATAAAAAGCCAGGCAGGATAAGGGAGGGAAGTCCCCTTAATTCTTTCTTCATCTGAAGAAGGAAATCATCCTCGTTCTTTAATAGGTCTACTCTACAGTAGAGGAGTGGAGGAGAGAGATGTTATGTTTGGTGTCAGTGTTAAATCACATACTATTGAGATGTCAGCCATGCTCATCTCTACAGAAGACATGTCTACAAGCGCAAGTCTCAACACCAAATTTAGTTTCTTTTCTTTCCAACAGACAAAGAGAACCTAGAGTCTGCATCTACCATTTGGAAGGAATAATGGGCAGGGCAATAATGCAAAGTAGATGGGTCCTATCAGACATTTGATCACGACCAGGATTTTCTCTCCCCCCCCCCCTTGGTTCTGGCTTTTGATTAAGCCTAAAATCTTACACTGTGTGCCTCCTGCATTTTGTCAAAGTTATGGAACTGTGATCACAATATTAGTTAATTGTGAGCAGAGGTTTTTGAGGTTGTAAAAAAATGAGATTTGTGGCACTTTGTCCCATTCCAGCTTCTATAAACTTTTAGGGATTTCCAGAACTTTTTTGGCTGGCTATCCTCTTTTCACTCTGTTTATGTTATTGAGATACTATAATCTTCCTGGATTTGCATCAAGTCTTTTCTATTAACTTCACTGGGTTTGTTTTTTCATCTGGCTGACTGACAATCAGCTTCCATGGATAAGGATGGATTTGAACTGGGTTCTTCAGTTCTTATCTAACATCTTAATCACTGCTCCACAATGGCTCTGGGGGAATCCCGAAGATTTTAGAAGGAAAATGTGTTCAGATTTTAGAAGGAAAATGTGTTCGTGGCTGAAAATCATTTGTGGGGAGGGAGAAGGAAAACAAGATCAGTCCAGCTGTAGAACTTGTGCTCAAAAGCTGAGCCTACAGATCTGAACAGTATACATATTCTTTATTTATAGACCAACTAATAAATCTCTCTCTCTCTCAATATTCCATTTGGATTCAGTTAATTCCAGATAGGTGAGTATAGGATTACAGCCTTAATCCTGCGATTTAATACTCACCAATTTCAAATGGATTATTTTTTGAAAAAAAGATAATGTACATGTATGTATCTTAAACCTAAATGTGAATTAGTGTAATATTTTATCCTTTGCAAGAGAATGGCTGGAATGAGGAAAAAGCAGTGGCCTTTCTCCCTGCAGAACAGTGGGAACCTGACCTCAGCCTGGGACTTCAGCCAGTAACACCTATCGTTAAATAGAACAGAAACAGAAGATGAGAAAATCAACCCATTCTCTTTTCTTGGTGGAACTTACATCATCAAATTCTGTTTATTTTGTCAGACACATAGAAAATTAACAGGTCAAGCAAAAAGCTAGGGTAGAACTGTTTTCCTTGATATGCTAATTTTATATGTGGAGAATTTGGAGTTTGTTTTATAGTGGAACATTCAGTCATTGGAGCACTTGCTTCAAGTATAAATTATTAGTGGACATACACAGATTTATTACTTCATTTGATTTGTTAGTATTAGTGGTTAGACACACTGAATTAGAAAGGAGTTCAGAGGCTATTTAGTCCATCCCCCCAATGATATTAGAAGTTCATAGCTATTCCGTTCTTCATAAGTGACCACACAGCTGCTAATCTTCAATGATCTTCAATAAAAGCTTTTCTACTTCCAAAATTATCTTTTCTATTGCCAGACACCTTATATAAACAGAAAATTCCAGCCCTTAGAACAAGGCTTATGTCCTGTAATCTTAACCTGTTACTGTAGAATATATTCTTTGGAGAAACAGAAAATTTATTTCATTTTCTATATGACAGCCTTGCAAATAATGGAAGAAAGTTGCAATTTAATTAATTGTTTTTCAGGATAAATGTATCTTAGAAACTGATAATACCTAGACCAAATAGATGTAGATATTAAGGAACAAACAAAATAGTACATAAATGACATATGCACAGCTATTTAAAAAAAAATAGTTGCATGAGGATGATCTGATCAAAAGAAGGACCATTATATACTTTGTGGGCAGGGAAGAATAAGAACCTTTCCTGAATGTCCCCTCTTTTTAAAAATAGAATGATAGTACAGTAGTCTTTTTATAAAAGAGACTCCCTGTATCAAACTGACTCCTTCGCATTGTGCAAATTGGGGAGGGAAGAAGATAGCAATTCATAGTAGAAAGCTGTTGTACATTCTTTTAACTTTTGCTTGCTAAGATTCCATGTTGTTCTTCTTGCAATGACACAGAATGTTTCACTGGTGCTCTGACCCTTTTAAAGCCATGTTTTGAACATTACCATTTTTTCCATGTTTTGAACATTACCGTTTTTTGAATTGTGCTACCTTATATTATTTGGAGACAGCAATTTTCTCTTTGTTGATTTATGGTTCTTCAAGTTAGGCATTTTTAGTATAACACAAAATGACATTAAATTGATGCATTATATATTTTATGAATAGATATCTGTATCTGTACTAAAACAGGGCGCCTGAGATTTTTTCCCCTTTGTCAAATAATTTCTTTCCTCTTCCCTGTTTTCTCTCTCTTTCAGGATGAATCTACAGGAGAAATAACATTCTACATGAAAGGGGCGGATGTGGTTATGGCAGGCATTGTTCAGTACAATGACTGGCTAGAGGAAGAGGTACAGAACAGCATTCTCAATGCTGTGACTTATTTTACATTTGCAAGTATGAAATTCTCATTAGAAGTATGAAATTGAATTCAGAGAATGCTTTGAATGCTCCTGGTGATATAACTCTGCCTTTCCTAACCTGGCAACCTTCCTATCTGTTGTACTGAAACTTCCATCATTTGCCTGGCTGGCCACTGTGGGGTAGTGGGAATAGTAACCAAATCATTTGAAGGCAAGAAAAGACCATCTGCAAACAGGAGAGGAGAGATAGGATGTATGTTCTACTTATAGATAGAAAGGCAAAAGTAGGGCAATGTGTGTGCATAATGGTGAGATGCATATACACATCTTGAATCTGCAAATATATTTCATGCAACTTGCTTATGTAGACTGTCTGTCAGGGTTCCAGTTAACATACCCAATGGAATCAAAACTCCAAGGCAGGCATATTCCTCAAAGTACAGATTTATTTGGCATGTCATATTGGCACATCTGGAGAAAACTAGACTCTGAAGGACTCAAGGTTTTCCCCACCCAAATCAAAAGCCCAAAGTTCTTTTCCCCAGGTCACACATCCATCACATGGTCCAATCAGGTTGCAGCCCCAATCCTGGCTGGCTTCGGTCCATGCCTCTCCAACAGCTGGTAGAACGTCCTTGGCTCCCACAGGAAAGAATGTTATTTTGGCTACACATCCCCAGCTATCTCTACCTCCCCTATCACATTCCCACAGCTCCAACCGGCCTTGCTGTGGCAGCCCTGAAGATGCTCCCAAAATGGCTTCAGGACGAACGCTGTCCTTATTAGAATGGTCTTTGCAACTTACCCCATCATTTAGCTGTCCCAGCAAAAAATGAAGAAAAATATTTTACGTGGTCCTACATGGGAGAAACCTAAGATTGAAACACTATGCAAAACATGTGGGCATCCATGGGCGTCAGTACATCTGTTAATAGTGTGATTATTCTCCAAAATTAAGCTGGAATTTAATTATATTTTTGGTAAAATTTAGAAGGTTGTTAGATCACATGAGATTCTAGCAAGCTCAGCCAAGTTTTTACATTTAAAAAAAAAAATCCAGATCTCATGTGAGATTTCACCTTAGTTTAGCATTCTCACCAAAAATCAAATAACTTTTTAAGGTAAAATAGTCAAAGTCTTGAGAGATTTTGGGGTTGAAATGATTGTTAGCCTTTGATATAAAACTGTAACCATTATTTTGAAGCTGACTTTTAAACTACAGTAGAATTTTATTACTTGGTCAACAAAACTATAATAATATTATGGTGCTATTCCATAATTTTGGAATTTTTAAATTCTGCTCTCTGAAAAGAACAGGGACAATTATTATGCTAATGTTTATTTCCAATGGCAGATTAGCTTATAAGAATGTATCTGTATTCCTTTATAGTGTGGTAACATGGCAAGAGAAGGATTAAGAGTTCTTGTAGTTGCAAAGAAATCCCTGTCTGAGGAGCAATATCAAGATTTTGAGGTAAGTAAATTAAATATGAAATAAAGCTCAAAACGAATGTCCCATTTACATCTGGAATAAGCAGAGAAGTGCTTAAATACTGTAAACTACTATGCTTGCTGTTTCCTTTTCTTGGCAAAGATGGAATTGGCCATAGTCCATCATGCATTGGCAACTTCCATTCTTTGAACATTTTGGAAAATGAATGAGTGAGTTGGCTGGATAAAAAATATACCACTTGTATCTTATCATTTTCATTGGATAACCTCATGAACTATTTCTTACCTTTAAAAATTGTAAGTCTTTTCTATATTTAATGCCCAAGCCTTTATCTTCTATAATTCCCCTATCAATATAGCCATTGCCAAGAATTCTGTGAGGAAGTCCATCCACATGGAAGGCATCCAGTATAGAATAGCTAAGATGGCTTACATTGACACAATGTGCTTAATTTGGTTGCAATGCTAACCTATATTCTAGGCACACCTAATATGGATAAACTAATCCAGTGGGCTGTAATTGCAACACACACTCGCTAAACCACCAAAACAGAGGTGGTATTCAGTAGGTTCTGACCAGTTCTGGAGAACCGGTAGCAGAAATTTTGAGTAGTTTGGAGAATCCGTAAATACCTCCTCTGACTGGAGATTTTACAGTATCCTTCCCCTGTCACGCCCACCAAGCCACACCCACAGAACCAGTAGTAAAAACATTTGAATCCCACCACTGCACCAAAACACCTAATCAAAGTTAATAGTCTATCTAGGCATGCTGTGCAAGTGCAGTCCCTAGATCTTTAACTAGCCTGGTTAAGTGAGTAGTGCAAAATACTTTATAACACATATATCAAAGAAGGATATAGGCCAAACAGGAGGCATAAATATTTCATAAGAATATTTAAGGATATTTGCTCATGTTGTTTGGCTGTATTACTATTATCTTTCTCATCTTTTCTACTATCTTTTCCTCTAGGTATGTTATGATTACATTACTGTGTTGTTTGAACACTGAGAGCTTAAGCACCAGAGAAAAATTCCTTGTGTGTCCAATCACACTTGGCTAATAAACCTATTCTGCTTTGCTTTGTTTTGCTCTGCTCTGCTCTGCTGTACTCTACTCAAGCTTGCATGACAAGGGGAAAGGAATCCATATAATTCCAACCAATTCTAGCTAGCACAGCTAGGGTATGAGTTGTTTCCCAGCATGGAGGACACCTGTTGAGGAAGAACATCTTGCATTGTCTTCTGCTCCACTACCCTTGATGATACTATATAATTTATTCCAGGATGTTGAAGGACAAAGGTTAAAATAAAAATGACTTATGACATGAGGGCTGCTCTGGATGTGCTTCTAGTGTATCTGTGGTAGCCAGCTGGCAGCTCAAGGGCCACATCAAACTTGTGGATGGCAGCCAGTTGACTCACTATTCTCCCATGTTCTTCTCACAGATAAAGATTCTTGAAATGTGGGCCAGTCTCTTCCCATCTGGCTTTAGGAGGGAGGGGAATACACACACACACACACACACACACACACACACACACATGCTACCCAACCCATATGTTTCCTGCTCTTTTCCTCCTCTTCCCTACCCTATAAACGTGCTGGCAACTGCAAGTGAAGGAATCTATTTGATTCCACACCTAGTTGGTTTTTTTAAGTAGTAATTGCCCAGTTTTTTAAATGAGGGGGATACTTTTTTTTCCTGCTGGAGCTGCATTTTATTTAATTCTTCTCTGTCTTCTCTGAGCCACCAGGGGGCACAGTTGTGATATAGTAACCTCATGGGAAGGAATGGGGCCAAATTGATTGATCCAAAATTTTCATGTGTCTGTATGCATGCTTTTATTTCATTTAGTTTTGTTGGACACATGAAGAAAGAAAAGATAACTCCTAAAACCCTGAAAAGGCTTAATGCACCTGATTTTTATATTTTGGGGGTTTAAAAAGGAGATCAAAAATTATGCTGCTGAATTTTAGCTTTTTGCTGCCAAAACTGAGTAGTACAATCTGGCTTCTTTAAAAATAGAGGTTGGGGCATTGCTGCTGGGAAATTTTGCCTGCTTTTCCTTATCCAGGTACTTTGTTCTGATGTGAGCTAAGCACTTAATGAATGAACAAATAATAAAGGGATGTATCTCTCGTGATCTTCCTTAGGCCCGCTACGTCCAAGCAAAATTAAGTGTCCACGATCGCTCCCTGAAGGTAGCCACAGTGATTGAGAGTCTGGAGATGGAGATGGAGCTTCTCTGCCTGACTGGAGTAGAAGATCAACTACAGGTGGATGTCAGGCCAACTTTGGAAACTCTGAAAAATGCTGGCATTAAGGTATGATTGAATCAAAACCCAAAAGTGTAAGATTCACTGTTTTTTCCTCCAGTCTACTAGTCTATGGCTGAATAAACACGAGATAATTATAATAAGTAAAAACAGATGATTTCCACATCAATAGGAGCACCTTAATAATACTGTCAGTATATAAAGCACTACAGGTAGTCCTTGACTTACGACCAGTCACTTAGCAATCATTCAATGTTACAACAGAACCCCAAAAAGACACAAACCATATTCAGCGTTTGGACAGCTGACACTACTTTCACAGTCACATGGATTGCATTTTGGGCATTCAGCAATTGGCCCCCATTTATGGCTGTTTACCGCATCCCATAGTCATATGACCACAATTTACTCCCCCCCCCCCCCCCCGAAACAGAGGTGGTATTCAGCAGGTTCTGACCAGTTCTGAAGAACCGGTAACAGAAATTTTGAGTAGTTCGGAGAACTGGTAGCAGAAATTATTATTATTTTTGGGTGGGAACGGAGATTTTGTAGTATCCTTCCCCTGCCATACCCACCAAGCCACACCCACACCCACCTGTAGTAAAAAAATTTGAATCCCACCACTGCCCAGAAAGCAGCGTTTACATTTAGTTTCCAACAAAAAATGGCCATTGCAGACAATGCCTTTGTTTAACATCCATATAAAGACTCACAACCATAATTTTGGACTGAGTTGTGGTTGTAAGTCGAGGACTACCTGTATCAATTAAGTACCTACATTTTTTTACAGAGCCACATCTCAGAATTCTGGTTTGATGTTGCTATGATCTTTGGTAGCATTTCCCCTTCAATTAATGAAATAATTTATCTGAGCAGAACATTCCACTGAAATAGGAACTGTATTCTATTTTGCTTGTAAGCAGCACAATTCAGGGATTGGACAAAGGTGGAATTACAAAGACTTCCCACCACTCTGGATGCTGTTGCTTATCTGACTTTCCTGTTGCACACTTTTCCAGGGTAGTCAGACAAGAGTCAGGATTGCTGTCAGGCAAATACAAATAAAAACAATATAAAGAAATAAACCTGTTTAAAATAACCAAACAGCAGCTGAAATTGTTATCAGTCCCATTAAGAATGTGATTTCTAAAGGCAGAGAGATTGACAGCCCAATACAACTTCCAAGGGAATGGATTTTATTTTATTTATCCCATTGATTAAAAAAAAATCCTTTATATCACCAGCAGTATCTAGCTGGTAGCATCTAGCTGACCTTGCTGATTTTTAAAAACTGGCCTTGGTCAGATCTGATTAGTATCTGAATGGGAGACTTCCAGGAAAGATTGGCTGAAAAGTAGATTGGGAGGTAGAAGAAGAAGAATACCTCAGAAGAAAGCAATAACAAGCCAAGAAAAATACAAGGATGTTTCATGAAGTTTAAAAAGAATCAAGCTCAAACTGAAAGATGTTTACCTTCTGTATAATTTTATAGTGAGCATTATTAATATACGAGTACCCTCCTGTTGTGTAGATTCCCAGAATGACTGAGAGTTGGGAGTCTGTCTATTCAGAAAGCACTTGTATTGGAGAGAAAAAATTGTGCCTTAGGAACCACACCATAGCTAGCATTTCCCCATGTCAGGAAAGCAAGCTTTTTAAATTAGTTTATAACTAAGATACCTGTCTCATCCCAAGTAACATGTAGTTCGGCTGCATGCCATGATTTCATGTTTGTCAGCATTACCAAGCAAACTGGACTATCTTGTACAAATTTCAATGTGCATATAGTATAAAGAAAGTCCTGAATTATGTTTCCTGTTGGCTAACATGAAGCCATGTATGATATATAGAGTGCTTGTCTGAAACCATGAGACTTTGAATTCCTTCTGAAGGAACAACTTTGGAAAGAATGGCAGCATGAAATTTATTCTTATTTTACAATTTTCCATGAAGGCCAAGATCTGAACTTTTGTAAAAAAAAAAAAAAAAAGGGAGAATGGATATGATATCCAAGATGTAGAGAAATACCCAAGGCCATGCTTGTGCTACTTAGAAATGCTCCCCAAACTCTTGGCTTTGTCTGTTGAAAGTGTTCACTTCCTTCCCATATCAATTATAACTCTTCCCTGTGTGAATTCTCATATCCCATAATAGACTAGACATCTCAGGAAAAGGCATGGCTGCTTTAAAGACTCGGCATCAGGTGGTGCATGAGTGCTCCTTCAAGTTGGCTGGTGAATTCTGGAAGTTGAAGTCCACACTTCAAGCAGCCAAGGTTGAAAAACATTGCCCTATACTACAGAATCATCATAAATTTGCAATTTACAACTGGCAATACAAAACAAAATGTCTAGTAGAATTTATGGCAGGTTACATGATCATATACCATATCACTAGTGCCCATTCCATAAGATGCATTTTCCAACAACAGCAACAATGTCACATTGTGCAATATGCAAAGCAGCCCAATTTTGTTTGATTCCACTGACTATTAAAAAGTTTAATTAGAGACTTATTTTGGTTGCTATGTGAAAATCTCTCTGAAGTTGTCCATGTGGTTATTGTCTTCTCATGATGTACAATGACTCATTGTGTGGATGTGGCAATTTTCTCCATGTCACCACAGACCATTCTGGTTGCATCTTCTTCACACAAACAATTTGTTGCACTAAGACAACTGCCACATGGAGCAGTTTAAAGCTGCCTTTATAGAACATCCATTACTGCATTATTGGCGCCATTTGTCTTAGCTGAAGCTTCCATCTCCAAAAATGGTCAATACTGACTCATGTTTTTGCGAAATATATCTCTTAGATCCCAGCATGATATAAAAAGGTTTTTTAACAGTTACTTCAAAATTCCATGTAATGTATTTGAAATATGCAATTGTTCAAATTGCTTTTGTCAATTGCATTTAAATAAAACTTCAAAGAATTATAGGATTTGAAAAGACTATTGAGGCCACCATGCCCAAATATCTGCTCAGTGCAGGATTTCAATTATATTTTAATTAAAATCCTGTCCATACTCAGCTTGACCATACCTAATGAATGCTGGGAGATCCTTATGGATAGTATTTCACCACTTAATCCCTCCACCCTACTGGTTCCTAACCCAATGCTCTTACCTTGCAAAGTGTGGTGAAGCCATTGAGGTAGTAGAAGCTGCATACTTTTATTATGGGACTTACTTTCAGATTTGTACTTGTCCTTAGTTTGTCCAACTCTCATATCCGGAAGATAGAGGCTCAAGTTGTAATCTACTTGGTATAAAGGTGCAAGTTCCTTCCATTTATTTTTACAGTGCCTAGATGTCAGATAGTTGGAAAAAACAAGGATACGTCAGGGAGGATGGGTCTTCTCCAATTTTTCTAATGGTCTCCTACCCTACTGCCAAGAAAAACACATGGGCATGTCTGTGAAATCAGAGGAAGTCATCAATCTTTTGACACAAGGGAGATTTTTGTATTTTTACCTGGTCATCTTTATTAATTTGATCGTTTGATGTGTTAGATTTATATAGCTTTTCTCCAGGACCCCAAGGCAGCATAATTAGTATTTCCTCTTCTATATTTTCCCCACAACAATAATGCTGTGGGGTAGGTTGATCTGAGAGAGAATGATTTCACCCCATGATTTTCCATAGCTGAAAATACAAACCTGAGTCTCAAGGATCCTGCCTTAACCACTATTGGCTTCTAAATATCTAAAATATAGTACATATATTAATTTTCCTACAAGCTAAACATTTATTAAGTGCCTTTTTATTATTTACCATTATTAATTTACTACATTTGATGCAACCTGCTTTCCTTTCAGAGTTGAATGCGATTTAAATATGAGCTTCTTCTAATATTATCCCCAGAATATCAGTCTTGTAAGCTGACTTGAGAAAAAGTGATCCACATAGTGAGCTCTGTGGTTGAGTGGGATCTTGAATCTGAGTCTCCAGGGAGTCTGGTCCAAAGCAAACCATTGCATTATACTGGCTCTTTGTTTCTATTCATGTGAGGTTTTGAATTTTTTTTTTTTAATTCTAGGTATGGATGCTCACAGGGGATAAACTGGAAACAGCCACGTGTACAGCTAAGAATGCACATCTGGTAACCAGGTCTCAGGACATTCATATATTTAGACTGGTGAGTAATACAAATAAAACTTAATTTACTTAGCACTTGTCCACAGAGCTTTATTTTGAATCGGGGGAAATAACATCCAGCTTCACTGTGCATGTAGACTACAGCTGAGCATATGATATAAGCCTAACCTTACTGCAAACATCATTGCATATGATGGGTCCTAGTAGCTGGAACTTCAACATGGAAAAAGAGCTCTTGTTTCCTCCAATTTCTTGCAGGCTCAATTTTATCCGGGTGCTTGGATTTCTGCTGAAATAAGTTCTTTAACAAGGCAAAATGCTGGGCAGCAATGCATTTTATGAACTAATCAAGAATGTTAAAACGGTTAATTCCTGTTCTGACGGGTTCACCCCCCCTCCCCCCAAGATGTTACATTTTGGCTTATTTTCCAAATCCGCCCTTCAATGGAGATTTGAAACCAGTGTGAATGTTGTTTTCTTCTGCCTTGTCTTGCAGAACTAATTTATTGCTCATCCTTATTATTCTGTAAAGGGAACTCTGCATCTCTTTGAAAATGCTTTTCTGAGACCTCTTTGCAAAATTTCAGGCTCCAAGATTTCTTTGGGTGAAGCAAGAAAGGCCACTTGCATTTCTGTACCATGACTGTGCAATAAATGTGAGGTGGAGTATGACAAACTCTTCGTTCATTTAAGCTAAATTGTCTCAGCCAAAAGGACTGTCCTGAATCATTAAAATAGAGATACAGATCTTTATGCATGCAAAGCCTGTCCTTTAGCCCTGTGTTTAACAGTCACTTTCATTTATGAACCGTATTTTTCCTTATGCTATTGACTTTAACTCTTTTAATACAGCAGCATTACATTTCTTAAAGAGCACTTGAAATTACTGATCTTTGTCTTATAGAGTTCTTTCAATGAACCCTCTCTTAAAATTGCCACAAGTTCATAGTGTTGACCGGGATGGAGCAATCTCTTGACAAAGTGTGACCATGGGTTTAAGAATAAAAAGAGTAGGCTATGCAGAAGTATCCCTAGATATGGGTTCCATTCAAAAACCAGATTTGGTGATATATATATATATATATTGCTGTAGAGATATGTGGCATACAGCCCACTCCCAAACAAGCAAGAAGTGAGGTTGTTTTGGATCTGCTGTGCACAAACACACCCTCTGCTTGATGCAGATATACCACATATTCCTCTGCCAAATCTGAAATATTCTTATCTTCTTTGCATTTGAATACTTTATTACTTCCTTTACCAAGTAAGAATGCACTGAATTATGTCAGAAAACTGTTTAGGTGAGAGTAGTGTCATATTCATAACTCAAATCTCTTCCTAGCATTATATATACTTTCCCCCCCAAATTGATCAGTGCTTTTTTTTCTTTCTTTTTTTTTTTGTAAATTTTATTTGAGTTTTCACATTAAAAAATACAAATAAAACATCTTTTTTGAAAGTAGCGTAATCCCGGGTTACATTTCTTCTTACAGACACAAATTCAATTTCATGCTCATTTTTATGTTCTATTCCATATCTTATTACTGTTTTACATTTTCTACATAGCTTCTCCCCTCTTTTAATTTTCTCAATTTTATTTTAATTATCTCATCTCAATTCAAATCATTATATTTATACTTTTTGTCTGTCCTGTTTCAATTTCATATTATCTTTTCTCATTAAACAAAGTTTCTCCTGTAGTTGCTGATTGGAGTATAACACCTTTATATCTTTTAATTTTATCCATTTAACTCTTATTTAAGCTTCAATATATACCTTAAAGTTATAACATTCAATATAATACATAACTTCCATTCGGATTCTGCTTGGTACATTCTTAAAATACACACTATATTCTTTTTAAAAAAAAGATTATAAATATATGTAATTAAAACAACACATTCCATTCCAATTCAATTCTATCATTAATATTAATATTCATTAAAATCTTAACTTCTTTAATATTACTTTTTAATTAAATATCATACTTCTATGGGAACAGTTATAAGCTTTCCATAATCCCCCCCCCACTTATATTTTATAAAACAATAACTAATTAAAATGTTCCCATCCCTTCCTAATTCAATTTTCTCATTTATTTTATTTCATTTATTTTATTAACAAACATTTCACTAGATTACAGTAACTATTTTATCCCTCATTTTAATCATACATTGTTTCCAATTTTCTAAAATTATTTCTATTACTAATATAACAATACAATCTTATGTACTTTTACAGAATCCCTTTTTCAGTTAAATTTTCACCCATTATCTCTAAATAGGCCCTGTTTTTCTATATCTTGTTTCTGTCCTTTGTAACTTCTTTTCCTTTCCTTCTTCCCTCTCTTCTTCTCTCTCCCCTTTTTATCCCCTTGTCTCTCTACCTCTATTTCTCTCTTCTGTATTCCCCTCTTCTGTTGCTTTCCAATATTATACTCATTTTTCGAACTATTTTTCTTTTCTTTGGTTGTTTTTTAAGTCTTAAATTCTCCATTCTCTTTCCCCCCTTTCCTTTTTCTTCCCCACATAGAATTACTTGTTCATTAAAGATGGCTTCTTCTTTGTCTTCTTGTTTTGCAGACGTTTCTTGTTGTTTCTCATAGTTCCAAATCTCCATTTCTAAGAATTGAAAAACAAAGCCAAAAGAACCCCTCCCTTCTTGTGCATCTTCTTTATACTTTTTAAGTTCCATTTTCAATTCATCCAGAAGTAGTGCCATTGTATAAATTTTTAAACAACCACCCGATTAATTTTAGTCATTCAAATGCAATAACCAAGAATCCAAAGATCACCAAGTAATCCAAATACACGCAAGCTGTTTCTTTTTGCTTTTTTTTCACTTTCTCTTCCTGGGGTTCTACTATTTAGTTGCCAAGTTTCAGTTGAAATGTATCTTTTAGAAGTCTTGTTGAAGTTTTACTGTAGATTCCTTTTAATTCCAGGCAGTCTCCTCCCTTTTTTCTGGATCCTGCCCTTTTATTCTTTTTCTCTCCTTTCCTGCTTATAAATTTTTTTTTTAGTGTCCAGAAATCTTTATTATCCCTTTGACATTTTGTTTTATTTTCAGATTAATTGCCTATTGATGTCAAAGTGGATTTTCCCCCCCGATTTCTTATTTAAGTCTCTTAGTTGTCAGTATAGGGAAAGGGACAGAAGAAAAAAAACCCAAACCTTTCCCTTTTCACTTTCCTTGGCTGCTTCAGAATCTTCTTTGGGAACGATGCTATTTTTTTTTTTAGTTTAAATTCCAGGGTACCTTAGTTGTTGCTTTTGCAATTTAACCCAGTCAGCCAAAACTTTCACTTCTTATCTTCCTCCTACACATTCTTTTCCGGTCGAGTTCTTCTTTGAGGTGGCCATTTGTGACCACCGCTGCAACCGCCTTCGGGAAAGGGAGTAATGGCCAGCTGAGGAGGAGAGATGCGGCCCTCCTCCACCCTGCTGGCAGTCTCCCCCCTCTTCACCACCTCTACAGGGTGGCTTAGCCCCAAAACCAGGCGGCTCGGGGTGCTCCAGCGGCGAGCCCAGACCGAAACCGTGCACGATCGCAGATTTCTGTCTGTCGTCGAAGAAGCTCAAACCGGAACTCCTCAGTGCTTTTTTTTTTTTCTTCTTCAAGCCATTAATCATTCTTCCACGTTCTGGATAAGATCCACACTAATGTAAGTTGTAGGCATTCAAAATCTGGAACACTTGAGTCACTTGTTGCTGCCTACTATCCTTGGATCAAAATGCTGCTTGTGGCCTTTCCCTGTGCAACGATCCTAATGAGTTCCTTGATTTTCTGAGGAACTCCAGGAGACAAAGTGCCAGAAAAAGGCCTAGAGTGCTGTTGGAAGAAGACAAAGGGTGAATCTAATTGAGAATGAATAAGAGCCTAGGGATTACATGGTGGCCATAAGAACGGTGAAATGAAATTATTTCTCCAGCTCAACATCCTCAACTACCTGCCCAGTGGGTGGTTGTTGTTGTTGTTGTTTGCTGTGACTCATTCCTTGCTGGGGAAGAGCAAAATGCAAGATTTGTCATTTTTTGGGACAGCAGCTGTTGTCAGGAAGACTTTCACCCAAATTAATTTAGTGTGTCAGTTGTGCTTGAAATTGAAGGTCCTTAAGACAGTCATTCATGCTTTGGTTACCTTATGCCTGGACAATTGCAGTGTACTCTTGAAAATCACTTGAAATGAGAAGTTATGAGCATGCTGTGATAAATTCAGGTAATATTTCTGCATCATAACTGCAATAATTACCATAAGGTCCTAGATCAAGGGTCTTCAAACTTGGCAAGTTTAAAGCTTGTGGACTTCAACTCCCAGAATTCCTGAGCTAACATGATGGGAGGAGGAATTCTGGAAGTTGAGGTCCACAGGTCTTAAAGCTGTCAAGTGGGTGAGGTGGTGGGTCCTAGATGCAATTCAAGGTCCTGGATATTACTTATAAAGCCCTTCATGGGATAGGACTTTGCTATCTGAGTGTCAACTTATTTCCAGCAGTTTCTGCTGATCTCATGCATTCTGATGTAAGTTGACATCCTCTAGGTCCAACAGGCTATGTGATGGGAACCAGAAAGCAGGCTTTTTTTTGTCATGGTGCCTGCTTTCTGAAACACAATCCCTCATCCCCCAAGATTCATATATTCTTGGCCTCACTTAAATGAACTTTTAAAACCTGGGCCAAGGCAATGAATTAGAATGGACAGTGGTCCCTTGCATTGCCCTGTTAAGTTTCTCCTAATCTTAACTTTTTTTTCCTTTTGGGATTGTGTATATTCTTGTTTCTATTGTTTTATTTTCTCACCTACACAGAATTATGACAGACTGGGGCAGCCTACATATGAAATAAATGAATGAATGAATGAATGAATGAATAAATGAATAAATAAATAAATAAACAAATAAACAAATTAATTAATTAATTAATTAATTAATTAAAAAAAACTGCAAGTACAGAAGTGGCAGGGCTTGGATCAGGACACCATACCCACCATCTGGCAGATTTGACACCCATCTGACATATAATGAATTCTCTGCTGACACTAAGCTACCCATTCTCTCCTGTCCAGGTGACCAACCGTGGAGAAGCACATTTGGAACTAAATGCTTTCCGCCGCAAACATGACTGTGCCCTGGTGATTTCTGGGGATTCCTTGGAGGTGAGAGGTGGGCTGGGTATTGAGAGTTTTGCCGCATAAATTCAGTGCCAGAAAAATAAACACAGATGGCTGATGCTTCATTTAATGTCTTTGTAAACTTATTAAGAAAATTTTACAATACCAGTTGTAGATTTCTCCAACATGGAGCAAACTCAAACAGAGGCAGACATGTTACAAGCAACTCAACTTCAGCACACAAGCAAGCAACTTAGTTTCTCTTTCACTTTAGAGCTGAGCACAGAACAGAGATAAACCACGCCCAGATTCTCTCTTTAAGTTTCAGCCCTCAACTCAGCTCTCATTGGCTGACCTTGTTACTAAGCTCTATTCCAATTCATGAATATATTCTGATACTGGGCTCCCAGCTTTTGCATCAGCAGCTTTGGCCAGAAACACACAAATTCCTCCAGTGAACTGTTTCTCACATTGACAACTTTGAGAAGTTGTCCTAGAATTCTTAGCTTTTACCTTAAAGTTGCCAAGACTGAAAAAAACACTGATCTAGAAGGTCAGGCTCTTACAAGGAACAGGGGTCAGCAAAAGAAAAAATCTCTGCATCCCATTAACTTTGTTTCTTTCTTTGTTTTTTTCTCATGGAATAGGTATGCTTGAAATACTATGAGTATGAGTTCATGGAACTGGCTTGCCAGTGTCCGGCAGTCATCTGCTGTAGATGTGCCCCAACACAAAAGGCTCAAATTGTACGCTTACTCAAGGAGAGAACTGGGAAGTTGACCTGCGCAGTAGGTAGGTGTTAAACCTCACATAGATGACAACAAGGAACCAAAGATTACACATACTTCATGTAGTATCTTTTAGGCTATTCTTGGGGTATCTATAGATCGGGGTCCCCAACCCTCAGGCCATGGCCCACCACTGGGCCATGGGCTATTCAGAATTGGGCCACGTGAGGGGCTGACCAGAACACACTGGTGCAGCTCTGGTGCAGCTTTTCTGAGCATCTGGCCAGCAGGCGCTCACACATGCCAACCCACCACTTGTGCAAGTTGAGCTGCACACATGTGCATCAGCCCACCGCCTGCGCAACCCATTCCTCCCCCCCACCCGTCAGGCCACCAAGTCACAAAGGTTGGGGACCGCTGCTATAGTTTATTGTTAATTACACTTTTCAAGACTTCAAGAAGAATGTCTAGTTCTCATTTACAATGACCTCATTAAAGAGTCATTTTCTTTCTAGTTTCTGGCCACCAGGGCTGAAGTATCCAATTCATAGGATAAGCTATCAATGGATTGTCCTTCAGTCTTTCAGTTATTTCTTCTTACTTTTACTTTCCCAGCCTCCCTGCAATCTTTCATAGTAGGGATTCTCCAGCTGGATTCTCTAGTTTAGCGTCTTTTTTGTATATTGGTTCATCATCACAGAGAAAAAGCTGTGATTTAAACATTGCACACCTATGGGTTTTCCATTTCTCTGAGGTTTTTTAATAAAGGTTAGAGTTTCTGAAGGAAAGCAAATCCATGGATGTAGCTATGAGGCAGCCCTTTCCATGCAAGTGTAATAAGCTGGCACAAAATAGAGAATTGGAAGGGATCATTGAGTCTAAGCTCCTGATCACTTGCAGAAGAGTAATTAAACCATTCCATCATAACTACAGACATTTTGGTGTTATTGAAAGAGATCATCATGGAGAAAATCTGTGAGATTGCTAAGAGTTGATAGTAATTTGATGGCTCTTAATCAATTGAGTTTACAGGTAGTCCTCAACTTACAATCACAGTTGGGATCAGAATTTCTGTTGGTAAGCAAGGCAGCTGTTAAGTGGGTAATGCCTTATTTTATGAAGTTTTTCCCCCCACAGTTGTTAAGCAAATCACTGCAATTGTTAAGTGAATCACACATTTATTAAGATAATCCAGTTTCCCCCATTGACTTTGCTTCTTGGAAGCAGGCTAGGAAGATCACAAATGATGATCACATGACCCTGGGATTCTGTAACCATTGTAAATTGAGAAGGGCTTGAATTTTGATCACGTAACCACAGTCAAAACAGTTGTAAGTACAAGGACCAGTTGTAAAGCACTGTTTTCAGTGCCATTGTAACTTTGAACAGTTATTAAACCAATGCTGCTGTTCTTGCAGCAAGGCATTATTATTGTCCTAAATCTCCTTAGTTTTTTTTTTTTTGTTTTTTTTTTGCATTTTCTACAACTGCAGCTCCAGCTCCTTCCCCCAGAATTTGTGGGTTTGAATTTTAGCCACCATGTTTTATTACCTCTGCTTTTCTTGAAAACAGGCACCGTGAAACATGTTCTGCTCTTTCATTTAGTTATTCCGCTTGCTTACTTTACACCTCATGATACTGAGAGGAAAAAAAACATAGCATAGTTAAAACGTGAAAAGAGACAGTAAAACTTATATTGAATGACCTGGAATAATTGTCCAAAGAAATGCTAAACTGCTAGTGATATTAGAATATCCCTCTTGCTGTTGTTGTTTTTTTTTTTCATTTTATGTTGCATGTATAATGAAGCTCTGGAATCCATTATTGTAACCATTCAAAAGGATGTCACTGCCAGCTAGGAACTCTACAGCTAAAATGATTTGTCTCTTTATGGTTAGCTATAGCAGACCAAGTAAAACCTAAGCAGATCCAGCCTTGGCTAAGCAAGGAGAACTGGAACTGGCTTTCAACCATAAAGAAAATGGCAAAAATGGGATGTTTTTATGATTCAGTGCTTCCACCATTTGCCCTGTGTGGTTTCCAGATAACTTGTGAACTTAAGCCAGATGTGTTTCAGATGTCTCCATCTCATCCCATGGGGAAAATTTTGTGTTTCTTTGTCTCTCTGAGGGTGTGTGTATGCTTTGTTTCGTTTTGAAGTTCACCTGCTAGTTGAAATTCATTGGCTTGTGGTAATGAGCTGTTTCATTCACTAGATGCATCCAGATAAACTTGAATGTTCATACACCCAACTTGACTCTATGCCCATCACTTGGGCTTGCCCTTGAGGTTATACAAAAGTACTACAACAGTCCTGGAAGCATTCCCATGTTGGAACTGTCCCTTTGCAGCAACACAGTGTACTTTATGCCCAATTAGACTGAAAGTGTTGGTTTTAATACCAGGAGCGGTTCCAAACAGAGCTCATTTTACAGCTGTCTCACATAAATTTACAATGTTGACTCGGGAACAGTTTTCCATTTATAATTCCCCAAGTTTCTCATCATGGCTTCTTTTTACCTTGATAAGTCCTGTAAAATGGAAACATACTGCAGAATAGCTAGGAATCGTATTTCATTGCTAGCATTCTAAGCCACTCAACTGAACTTCCTTGATTTTGTGTGTTACAGGTGACGGGGGAAATGATGTCAGTATGATTCAGGAGGCAGACTGTGGTGTTGGTGTTGAAGGAAAGGTAAGCCAAAGCATGATGTTTAGTTTGAATGAAACAGTCATAATGATAATGATTTCAGGAGAGAGAGCTTTAGTTCAGTGGATAGACATAAACTCACAATCAGAGTATCACTAGAGCTGTGGTGGCACAGTGGTTAGAATACAGCACTGCAAGCTACTTCTGCTAGCGGCTGGCTGCAGTTTGGCTGGCTCACCAGGCTCAAGGTTGACTCAGCTTTCCATCCTTTCCAAGGTGGGTAAAATGAGGACCCAGATTGTTGGGGGCAATATGCTGACTCTATA